CAGCCGTAATACTCCTCTAGGAGACCCTTAAAGCAGTGGTGACCCTCCGGAGTTATCGCTTCGTGGCCTGCTGGGGGTAAGGAAAACGAGGGGTCGCCACTCTTGTTTCCAAATAGTTATCTTTTGAGGTTCGCTAGGTACGTCCGGATTTACAGGTAGGACACATATTTATTGAGCTAATTCTTAACTCTCGGCTTAAGGAGCGCCTCTTCATACTCAATGTTTATAGCTCACCATTAGACACTCGGGGAACTTTCAATGCGCTTCTGTACAAAGCCTCCAAATTCGCCGGCTCGGCTCCGTTTACAGTAGCTGGCGACTTCAATGCGCACCATCAGACATGAGGCTATATCCGTAATACGGCTAAGGGGAGGGTGCTTCTGCAGCATACTAGTAATCTTAATCTGTTACTGGCTACTGATCACAACTTTCCCATATGTCTGGGCAATTCTGTAGTGAGGGACACTACGCTGGACTTGGGTTTTGTCAGGAACGTCGAGCGCCCCCTCTGGCAGAACTTTCATGAGAGCTTGGGGAGTGGCCATTTCATTGTGTCGGTCTCTCTCGAGATTAAGGCACTGCCACCGCGGGTTTTCAAAATTGTTGATTGGGACGCCTTTCGGGAAATTTGAAAGCGCGATCAAAACAGCTATGATGGCTTTGGCCAGCTACTCGAGCAGCTTAAGGCAGACGTTAAAACTGCCACTTAAGTGGTGCACACGGATCTTAAAACGGATCGCATGGTCAGTCGCCTAGCTAGGTTTCTTGAAGACAAGGACTCTATACTTAATAGATAGCATACGCAGCCACTCAACAGGCGGCTCAGAAGGAAAATTGCTCTACTCAATAAGGAGATTGAATCGGACAGCCATACCCTAGCCAAACAACAATGGGATAAGGTCTGTAATGCTGTAGACGGGCAGATGCGATCAGGGACCAAGTGGAGCATTCTCAAGCATCTCCTAGAAGATAGGCAAACTAAAGCCAATCAGAGACACACTGACCGTCTCATTCTCAAGGAAAGCTCTGCTGGGCTCTCCGATGATCACATCTTGCAACAGCTGTGGCGAATAGGTACCTCCCCCTGGGGACTTCTGTAGGTGCAGATTACCCAGATTTCTCTGGTGTGGAGGAGGTGGAGCTACTCTTCCCCTTTAGCATTGCGGAGGTCAGGGCGGTCCTTTTTGGTATTAACGGGAAGTCGGCTTCCGGGCCAGATGGTATTACTAACAGGTTACTTAAAAATCTCCACGATAGTTCTATTGAGGTACTAAGTGATGAGTGTTTGGGAGTCGTGGCAGCTGCCGCAGGAGTGGCAAACTGCCTCTGTCGTCCTCATTCCTAAGCACGGCAAACCTCTCAGGCTTGACACGCTCCGACCAATCTCGCTCACGTCTTGCGTGGGTAGGGTCGCGGAGCATGCTATCCTTAACCGAATTTCCCGCTACATTGAGCATAACGAGCTCTTTCCTGTCAACCTCATTGGTTTTCGTCCAGCGATCTCTACGCAGGATGTTATGAAAATGATTAAACTTCAAATCCTCGACATAGACACAGGAAATGTTCATGGCATTCTGGCACTCGATCACGAGAAAGCCTTTGATAATATTTCATATGTTCATATACTTGATTCGAACTCTGAATTCGGGTTGGGGTCCCGCTTTTTTGGGTTCGTCTGCTCTTTTGTCAGGGATTGTGTTGCCACCATTCGGCTTAGGGACCTCTGCTCCAAGGAATTTCAACTTGGACCACGGGAAACCCCTCAGGGATAGGTAATTTCACCACTAATTTTTAACATCGCGATGAGGAAACTTTCGCTAGGGCTAACTCGTATCGACCGCATCGGACATGCACTCTATGCAGATGATATTACTATATGGTGCACGGGGGGGGGGGGTAAAGATGGAGGTTGAGGAGTCCCTCCAGCAGACTTCCAGGTGCATGGAAGAGTTTCTGGATAGCACGGGGCTGCACTTGACCCCTTGTCCACTGCCAAATCAGAGCTTCTACACACAGCCAGAGAAACACAAACTCACTACCATCCCAGGTCCATCAGAAGAGATAAGGATCGAGGAGGAGGAGGAGGAAAGTTTAAGCGAAAGCACAGGGAGGTTAGCCAGTTCTTAGACCGGCTGGCTACCCTGTGCTGGGGAAAGGCGGGAGGGGTTTAAAAGATGATACAAAGAAAAATCGACATTCACACACGTCAAGGGCGGGCGATCCCCCAAGTCGACAAAATCCGAATATTAGGCAAGAGCATGGCAGTAACTCTCATACTTTGACCCGCATTACGGCGAAAGCGGACAGCATGGGCAAACTTATTCTGCGGGTATCTAACAGGCATGGAGGGCTTTGTGAGGCCAACAACCTCATGAGGCTATTTCATGCCTTTCTCATGAGTCACATAAATTACATTGCTGCAGCGCACAGATGGAAAAGGAAGGAGCAAAGGAAATTGGATGCGATTATTAGAAAATGCGTTAAGAAAGCATTACGCCTTCCAAATAACACTAATGAGGAAAAGCTCAAGGCGCTTGGTATGCATAATACATTTCACGAGATTGCAGAAGCGCAACAAACAGCTCAAGCTGCAAGACTGTCCTCTTCGAAAGCTGGTCAGCGCATTCTGAAGTTTCTGGGCTGCGAGCCCACTTTGGTCGCAGACAAAAAGCTACAACTCCCTGCTAAATTGAGGGAGCAGATTACGGTATCACAAATTCCAAGAAACGCTCACACAATCTGCAATGTAGGCCGCCGGGTTGCCATAGGGCTTGGTCACTCCTCAGTTCCGCTGCTACCACCCCTGAACTTGTTGCGTTCGTTGACGAAGCGCAGTATCCTGGAATAGCCAGTTTCGTGGTTGCGGTCGCTGACCTTGATGGCAAACTCCTCACGGCTACATCCCTTCGAGATACCATGCCGGCCAGGGCTGAGCAGGCTGCTATAGCACTGGCCGGGGCTATTCCCACGCGCACGTGCATTTTCACTGACTCTCGGGCTGGTGTGCGAGCATTCATGACGGGGTAAGTTTGTGAGCAGGCTGCCCATATTCTTACAAAAATATCGAATTGCATTGGCAAGGATGTCCGCCCTGTTATTACTAAGGCCAATGAGTCTGCCCATGCCCGCACACTGTCCCACCATGACGCGCATTTGGCCTCTAATTTTGAGGAAGGCATCCAGCCGCTTGATTCCCTCCTCACCTTTAACGAAATATGTAAGCACTATTAATTGTCCAGGCGTAGGTTTTCACTCCCGAACCCGCTACTCTAGAGGGCCCAGTCAATATCACTTTACGAATGCTGCAAACCGGTACTTACCCGTCGCCCTTAGTTTACAGTAAGTTTATTGACAGCATAAAGGCTCTCTGCCCTCATTGCAATGAGAGACGATGCACGTTATCCCACATGCTCTGGTAATGCACGGCGCTGCGCGATGGCGAGCCTCTCCGCACAGAGGACGCCTGAAAGACTACGATCACCAGCTCGGACCGGGAGGTCCAAATCCGGGCTGTCCAGAGGGCCCACCGTTTGGGGGAGGGACATGCCTTTCCCGTCCCAACGTGGGTGCAGCCCGCAACCGGCCCGCCCTTTTGAAGGGCACCGGCTCCTCAGGACAATTTGTGAATAAAGTTCGGTGACTGACTGAGTGATGAATATATGATGAATAGATGATGAAAAGGACAAACGGACGCACGGATGGACGTAGGCTTGGACGGACGGATGCATGGACAGACGAAAGCAGGAACGAACGCATGGAAGGACGCACGAATGGACACACGGACGGACGGACGGACGGAAACGTGGACGGACGCTTCACCCCACTGATCATCATTCAGCGCGTAGATATGCTGTGATTTTTTTGCCAAGAATTTATGACTGTCGGTCTCTCTTCTTCTCTCGCTACTCTTTCTCTCACTCGTGCATAATCGGCGCCGAGTATCTGCGATGCAGAGCACATGAAGAAAAGGACGAATAGAGCGCGTGCCGGTTCATGATGATGATAGTTCTTTGTTCAGGCCACACGGACGAACGGCCTGATTAAACAGCTCCACTGTGGATTGTTGGGCCTGCAAGTCCCAAAACCACGATGAATATGATCAACGCCGTAGTTTGTGGCGGCTACGGAAATTCGACTACTGCGGTCCATAGAGTTTCCTAAAATTAACTAGAGGGGACTCTGTCGCTGCGATCATTCAGCGACCCTGGGAATGATGGGTAGTACACCCATTTGCCTAGTCTTCGTACTTGCAGGCGGCGAATTGTACTTGCGGCTGCGTTTATTGCTGTTTCGGTTTTGTTTTGAAAGATGCAACCCTTTTGAACTTCATGACCTGATTTGAAAAGGTAAGTCTAATAGAATAAGGTGGTGAAACGCAACCGCTGAACATTTGTTATTGTTTTTTTTTTTGTGAGAAAACAACTCCAAGTCACACGAACACACACGGAGCCAAAAGGAGGCCAGAAGTAGGAAGATTAGACAAATGTGTGTACTACCCATCATTCCCATGCTCGCTGAAGCGCCGTGCGTTGCAGCTCCCATAGACACTAGCGCCAGAGTTCCCTTTAGTGTATATTAGGAAACTATATGTTGCGGCCCAGTAGTCGAGTACCACAACCACTACAGCCCCCTGGCGGGTACTCACATTGCTAATAGCTTGCGTCATTATTGTACAAAAAATAAATCACAAAAAGGTACAAAACTGCTCTTACATTGCAGAGATTACAGTAAAATGAAAAGGTGAACGTGGGGAGTTTTTGGGCTTTTTTCATTATAGGTGAACTGTGTATACGAATGACGTGTGTCACCATTACATAAGAGGCAACTGGCGAGGATAGTTTTCACGAAAATAAACATAATAATCGTCGATACAAAAAGGTTGATACAAAACATGCCTGGTCGAAAGGTTTCGTTTTCGCTACACACCATGCTTGTTAAGCTACTTATTTATCAAATTTCTTATCAAATTTTAGCTAGAGAGAAGGAAAAAAAATGCTTGAAACATCAATGACAGCCTTTTTTTATTTCTCACCAATATTTGCAACAAGATTTCACCGTTGATTTTCAGCACAGAAACGATTTTAGGTTCCGTGGGATGACGCAGTGAAAAGACCCATACTTCTTGAGCACCCTGCATGTAATACACCTAAATATGGGGAGCACTCAAAATTGTGTGCTTCACTATATATACAAAGTTCACCATTTGGGAGGGGGGATCTTTAATGCGCAACTAAATCCAAGCACGCGGGCTTCAGGCATTTTCGCCTCCACCAAAAATGTGGCCACAGCAACCAAGATTCGACCACGCAACCTGCGGGTCAGCAGTCAACCACTAGACCACCGAGGCGGGTTGTTGAATAAAAAATCTTTGACTGATAGGTGCAAGAGATTGCACTGTGCTTTACCATCCATACATGTGGCAGTGTGCACTCCTCATCCTAGCTGCAAGTGAGAGGCTGCTCCACTGTGTTGCCGGTCCCATCAGAAGGTCGATATTGCATCTTTTTTTGGCACACAAGCACTGTGGATTTCTTGGAATGTTTCGTTAAGAGCCCACACATACATATATACCTTTAGTGACCATTTTAAACTCACATGCGCAGTACATACATGCACACACAAGCATTCAGACACAAAGTCCTTTCCTTCTCTGTAAATATTTCCATTGTTGCAAGATGCGTCATCTTGTCTGAAGTGTCTGAAGGCTGGAAAAGACAAAGGGACCACACATACATGTGTTCCCTTAATTTTTTCCAGTCCTGAGAAATCTGTGCTAAACGCTTAAGATATGTTGTACCAACAAGGCCGGAAGGTGGCCCTTGCAACATTTTGTGCAACTGGCGTAATGGCTGCCCCAAAACCAACGAGAGTGTCTAGCACAAAGGTATTGTAGTGTGAATGAAAGACAGCACATGGTAATACCGAGCTCACTTTGTTCTGGAGTTACATGCTAAAATTTTAGTAGTTAACGGCTCATTGAAAGGCAATAACAGAAACCAAGACCGACAAGTTTACAACAGCAGTACTTTGAGCTCAATAGGAGAACACTCCGCTGTGGCACCAACTCTAATTTATGGCTTCAACTGTTCTTTTTCACAATATAAAGCTTAAAATGATTTCTGTAAGAATTGCCATTAGACAATTGCTACAAAATGCTTTTATTGCTTGGTATGGTAATACGAGACCGACTGACGAACTACTGCCAAAGCTGTACACTGAAATAAAAAATTCGTACAGGAGTTTATATTCATTGGCTACAGACTTCTTCGTAAGATGAATACAACAGACACAAATAGAAAGTAACAAAATATAATAAACAAAATAAGCTGAATTCTACACTAACAAGTAATGAAAACGTACTGAAAACAGCGTATGCCCAAGAATGCTTAGCCCAGCCATTTTATCAAACCATGAGACTTAACAGTAGTTTTGTATGATCAGGCCCAACTCATAGACAGAAAAACCTCATTTGTTCATAATTATTGGGAATTATAAAAAATTTATATCATGCAAATGATGAATTATCGAAGGAGTCAAGAGCCGTATCTTAATTGAACAGGTGCCTTCCACCCCACCCCCCCTCCTCTGTATCTTCATTCACTACTACCACCTCCAAGCACGTATGACAAATGTTTTCACCGTTGAGCTGATCGGCAACCAATGTCCCAACTGCTGAGACATAACTAGGGAGTTAGATGCCAGCACGCTAATTGCGATAAAATCGTTCATCTTTGACTGTTGCCGCCATGTTTGTGACACTACTACGCACACATTGCATCTAACATAACTAATCTAAAACACTGAGTGACGCAACCACTGAAGATTAAAACTACAGTTATTAGCGATGCACTCAAAAGCCCATACATTTCTGAAGGCTCACATGCAGCATACATACATGAAGTGAAAACAAAACGTACCGTATGCTACAACCTCTGCAAATGAAATCCACCTTGCAAACAATGTGATCATGGGTAGCAACCATGCCGTTGTGAAGGCACATGACCGATGCGGTGATAAATGCAAATAGTCAGCGCCTGTCTAGATAGGGCCTGTTCTTACCGAACATTCAGTCTGATGACAATGATAATGTAGACTGTGCCTCTTTGTTTTTTGTTTTTTTTGGGGGGGAGGGGGGTGACACCAGCCACCTTACCTTGCTGGTTTTTTTGCACTGGACATTTCCAGCACTTTGCAATTAAAAACAAAACAGGTGCAGCAGCCAGATAGATCTGAATGAGGTTTTTAAACAATGCAGAAGCTTGCCAAGGCTAGAGAGCATGTCCATACTATAAAAGATTTTGTAATATTGAGGGTTGAATTAACAAGGCTTTACTGATACCAGCACGCAGTGATCACAGAAGAACAAGATTTGTTGGGAACATAAGCAGCAAAATACTGGTGCTTATACATAATTAATGCAGCACCACTCAACATCCGAGGGACATTTCAGGAATGCCCTTGAGAGAACATACAGAAAGACACAATAGCATTTTTCAGTCACTACCTACAGTTCGCGAGCTCTAGCCATCCAAAATTTGTACACATGAACTTTTCTTTTTCATAGAAACAATCGTACGCTTGATGTTCTCTTTGGTGCCTTGGGCCTGTCGTAGAGCTGCAGCCTCATAGGCTCCTCAATGATTTTTCTCCAGAGCCAAGGTACAACGATGACACTGCAAAGACCAGGAACACTACTCCTCCAATAAATGTGACTGTAAGAGAAGAAAAGAACAGCTATGAGTCATCCACATCCAAAATGTTCATCCAATAGTAAGTAAGGTGTGTCTTACAGAGAGCCTAAGGTAAACAATTAGTTTGTATTGAAAGGTAACCTATATATTATAAATACTATAGTATATGATCTTAACACAATAGGTTTATTAATGAATGAGAAAAAAAATGTCAGAAGCTTAACTCGCAAATGTTCGGATTGGATCAAAATACAAGTGCTTTAACCGGGACAATCGAATTATCTCGTTTTGTGCCTCGCGCTGACCCGAATCTCGCGCTGATAGTTTGGGTAAACCACTACCAAATAACTCACCAAATTACAATGCCACCTAACATTCACTCAAGACATTGACATAACTAAATTGATAGTTATCGCACTTTTCAATCTCAAGCTTTGAAAACAATGCCTTCCAATACTGATGTTCAGCTATGATAATTATATATTTTTTCATGCATTGAAAGCACTTCTGAATTCACTCAGCTCAGCCTTGGCTGTTTGCTCCTTCTTGTCCTCTTGGTCGATCCCTCTTCCGTTTCCGCAACAGAATGCTTACCTGCTTCCCCCCCCCCCCCCCCCCCCATGTCGCCTACTTCTGAAACCAGCTGTCACCAACCTGTTCGGACAGATATCCATTGTGCCACAAGCCTGCCTCCGATGACTGCGAGCAGAGTGCACAGGCTGTGACCAAGTATGGCTCCAAGGGACACGGCTACTGGGTCCTGAAAGATATGCATGACACTGCAAGATGCATCCACATTCTAATCTGTGCCCATCATTCGTACATACATACACAATCACACCACATATGAAGTTGTCGTACTCTCCTCAAACGTACTATGCAAAATACTATGCTAATGAGGCGTGATTCAGCTTAGTAGTGGGTAAGCTGAGCTGAAATCCTCTTTGTATCACATTTTATTTATTGTTCATTGTATTTATAAGCGCACATACAGTTGCCGACTGATTTTTCTGACCTGGTAGGAACTGCAAAATAGTAGTTCGAAAACTAAAACAGTCTGAAAAAATGGTCAAGCTGTGAAAATGAAGTTGATGTGGTTTAGAAAAGACTAAAAAAAGTCCCCAATAATGCCATTCTTCACGCTGTTTTTGGGGAAAAGCAAATTTGGTTCTATTTGGGCTACGGTAACATCGCTTGCAAGCGCATTGGCAATAGCTGCCACCTACCATTGCGGGCAGCAAAGTTGGTGGTTCCGTGGAACCAAGCAAACAAAACTTGATGCCGGTCGCAAAAAGATGCATGCGATGTCTTGCCTGTTTGGTGAGCCTCCAGCATTTCGCCACAATAAAAACGCTGACGTCGCGGCCGCAATCGAACCCACGCGGTCCAGGTCAGTAGTCGAGCACCATTACCACCGAGAAGCGAGAATGTGACGCGCACCAGGGCTCAAACATACTTCGCACATTACTAACACAAGCACGTGCGCAATGATGACCAGACAAGCTAATGCCCAGAAAATAAGAACAACCTACCGGCATATTAATGGTGATAATAGGGCTCACTGAAAAATAAATACTTTGCCGTTTGGCTAGCCAACGAATATTAGACATGGCCTTCGAAACTGAAAGATTGTGCGCGCTTCCGATCTCGAAGGCCACACAACTAGCCACTGCAAGCCAAACTCGTCGAAGCCAACAAAAATACAACACGGCAGCTTTCAAAATAGAGCGGCATAGCTCAATACAAACGATTTAGTTCGGAAAATCGAACTTTAGAACGTAAATTTGTCCGAAAAATCAGTTGCGAAAATGCATTAGTGTGATGGGAATCTTGACAATGCATCTGTGAAGTCCGAGATATCCAACAAGTCTGAATTTTTTAGTCCGAAAAATCTGTCGGCGACTGCACATAGTTATTTAATTTGTTCTGAGTCTATTTGTTCTGTTGTTTTATTAGTGTGACATCCTTCTTTTTTTTTTTGCTGCTCACACTGTACTTTACTTGTTAACAGCTCAGAATTTTAAAACTGCTGCCCTGTATGTAGGCTCTCGGGCACCCTCAAGTGGCTTTATTACCGCTTTTCCCCTTTTCACTTAAGGGACACCACACTCCACTAGGAAAGTAAAGATTTGATTGATTAATCTACAACAAAAATGAGAAGGCATAGGCACCTTTTACTGAAGGAGCTCCAGTTAACCTTTGAGGTTTACATTTTGGGGCAAATGCATCCTCCCATGGTCCCGTTATCTACATCTGACTCAAATTATTTTAGAGAGCTTATTTTGAGGAAGAACAGGTAAAAAAAGTTTAACTTACAATAAATTGACAAATATTTATAGTGCAACAATATTCATACGACCCAAAATTTCATACCACGAAAAATAGAAAAATCTATTTCGAAACTGCATTATATGCACAAAACATTTATTTCAGTAGAAACAATCGACGCATGTTTATCTTACACATACGTGAGCGAACCAATAATGAATAGCACAGCCGGCTGCCGTGAATGAGTGAGTCAAAATTTTGCTACAGGCCAACTGAAAACTCAGTGTTGAAGTCAGCTCCACCATAGTCATAAGCAACCAACTGTATACAGTAAATGATTGTTAATTAAAACTTGATGGGGACTACAAAATTGTTGTAATTAAGCAGTTTTCAAGTAGTTGAATGAGGGCTATAGAACGAACGTTATGCCACACTGTGCAAACAGAACCCAAAGAAGCCACTTCTGGACTTGTTACGGCGCATGAGATGCTTCTACATGTTTGTGGCACATGATTTCGCAAATTAATCACGTGGAGGTCTAACAGAAACAAGCATTAATTGATCAGTAAATGACCTACAAGAAACAAGCACCTACATGCATTCATGTGAGCGGTGAGCCTTAATGTCAAAATATATGATGCTTTTTATGCTCAAAAACATGCAATTACATGGCTGAGTTAACGTAATAAAAACAAAGAGTACTGGGCCATTTGCATTTGCTTGCGTTTCTTCTGTTGCGACTCCATGAGTACCGATTGCAGTTAGCCGGAGAGCTTCAGTGAATTTGCAACTGCTGAGAAATACTTAATTTTTGTTGTTTTGCACCACTAATAAGTTTGGTTTGCTTTTACAAGACATTGTGATCATCATCGGCAGACTTCTACGAGAAGTGCTGGAAACCAGGGGCTTATAGTTCAAATGAACCCTTCGTGATACCGATGGATTTGAATTATTATGAGTTTATCCCTATGGGGCTGTGCGGCGACAAGTGCGTCAGTTCAGATTAACTGTAAGTTCAAGTGAACTTGGCTTGAATTAACGAGCTTTTACTATAGCCTTTCCTGTACTGCTGCATTAGCTGTGTATCTTAGATGCTTTGTAGTCGCTATTGATCGCCATGATAGTGAATGTGGTTTTGTGTACAGTGATTGCAGTGAACCGTAGTTCTGTTTTCAATCTGTGAGTGCTGACCTTTACATGTGCAGTCAGCATTGAGCCACTACTACCTATGTTTGAGTAATGTGCAGCAATGATCTTCAAAAGTTTAAGAGCTCAAATTCTAACTACAGTCAGTGGAAATCCCAATTAAAATGGTGTTGTTCTCTACTGCCCAACATTTCCATCACACCAGGGTGTGCATCGATAAGTACCATAATCCATGCATCACATATTTATTACAACACAAGGCTACCATGTGGGTGGCCAGCACTGCTACACCAAACTTCAGATAGAAGATGAAACTATGCAAATGTTTTTACCTTAAGAAGTATATCCTGTCCTGAATTCATTACTGTTCAACCTAAATGACAGCCAATCGCATGTGGAATTCACAAGCCGCATTAGTCACATAGAGGTGTAGGAACTCTTTCAGAAATAAGATGCAATTGAATTATGGAAAGATTCCAATCAAAGGATTCAGGTCTAATGGAAGGCCTATCTCATTTCTACCAAGTCCCACTCACCTCTCGCGCAGCAAGAATGATTGTGGCTATCTGTGAGCGGTCACCCCACTCGGCCACAAAAGTGAGGGTCAGGGCTTGAAAGAACACCTTGGACAGGAACAAGCGCACCCGCCTACGAAAGCTCACTGCGGTCGCCCCGGCCTCCATGCTGACGACCGAGTCCCTCGCTTGGCTGGCAATGTCCTGAAAGTGACATGCGTGTATTTAAGCAGCAGGTCACAGCTTAGGCCATGCCCTGTGCGATACAGCATTATCTCATCAAGACAGAAGTCGAACTCAGTGACCAGGCTCCTCCAACCTCCCGCAGCTACTATTTACAAATTGTTTTTCTAAGGGAACTGTTCAGTGCTCTTTGGCTGAAACTCTAACGAGAATTTAGAACGTACTATTTCAAATGCAAGCCAAAAAGATGAAGCTGATTTTTAACTTTTTGTAAATAAAAACAAGCAAAACGGTCACCTTGCAGCAAGACAGAATCATGCCAATATCACGCACCCTGCCCCATGAGCATTACATATTTCCTTCTATTGAGACACTTTCTAATGAGCAAGTTGGCATACGCTCATCTTGGGTGAACATCGCACACTAGAAGAGAACGAAGTTATTGTCACGAATGCAGCTGCGTAGCCTTCTTCAACGACACACACATCATAAAAATCAGTTAGCAAGAGAAGTGATTGAAGCCTTCCACATTTGAAGGAAAAACGTTAAGTGTGTCAGCATGCCATCAATTTCACTGTGTGACACAGAATTCAGCTATCTTTCCAGCATCTGCAAAAGATGATATCAATGTATATCTTTTTTACCCTGCTTGTGGTGTGTTTGGATGTATTGCTGTTTGCGTATTTTTTTTTGCTTTTTCTGTTAAGTTGCACTCTACTTTTATATCAGCCATTCTTTCCCAAATAAACTTTAGTCGGGAGTCAGCACCTATCTGTGTTCTTTTACTTTGTCGTCGTCTTGTGTGCGCTGTTCAACCAATATGAATGCATCCCTTACAGACTAAAATGCATTTTTTGTTCAGCGATCTCCAGAGTCTACACAATATAGCACTTCATACATCACACACAAGGTTACCGTACAGCTATTATTTGATTCTTTCAGCATGCAATGCTCACGTGGTCATATTGAATCTTTTAACCAAGCACTTTTCCAAGCTGTTACTCAGCAATGGCCGAAATCGCCCTATGCAACAGTAGGTGAATGGCGCCCTTCATGGTAGCCGGGAGTATTGTCCAAACATCCATGCAGTAAACTACACACTAAGAAGCAGTGTTTCTTTTACTAAACAAAATTGATGCTGTGCAAACCCGCTGCACAACTGGCCTAGCTATGCTGTATGTGCTGGTATGTTGCTGTTATTGCCGTTATATGCATAATGTTCACTGTTGCCTGGACAATACTTTTATATAAAAAACAAACACCCTTTATTGCTGATAACCCTTATGCAACAACCCAAAAGAGAAAGTAAAACCTGGTGATGAGCTAAATGTTTCTGGTTTTGCAACAAAATCCACCACGTAACTCGTCAAGATATAGTAGCACAAAATGTTTTCCCTAGATCTGCATCTCAATGTTCAAAGCAAATTGCTAAACATTTAAATTTTAAAACATTCTAGATCAATGCTTCATTTACATTGAAGTGAAGTGGCACTGTGCATGCATATGATTAAACATTCCAGCGTTACTGTTGAATTGACAACACCCACTTGTCTAAGCCATTTGTTATATCCTAGCTTAACGCACTATTCTTTGCAAGGTACCTCTTATTCAGAATATAACACTTGGTTGTATGTTTTATAGCAGCAAGCACTTGATCAGCATGAACTTCAAAGCAAGCAACATAATTGCCATGACTGAGAAACCACTAGATGCTACATTGCTACCTGGAATTTATATGCACTGAGCCAAATGTACCAGTCTACATGAATCAGCGGATCAAGCATCCCTCTTGAGACATCGGATTCAAACTTTAATGCCTGCAACATGTGATCCTAATTTTTATTATGAAAACATGCGATCTGTGCTGCAAAGCAGTGCTGTTTCTGCCTTTCTTGAAAAAAGAGAGAGAGGCTGCTCACAATGTCCACAAGGTTGCGATATCTTCTACTGTACACAACAAGGGTGTTTTGAAAAGCTATCCTCCTTTAAGTAAAAAAAACTTAGGCTACTTACATCCGTTTCTTTTCTGGTCAGTGATTTCTGGACCTCTTCATACTCATCCATGCCTTCATCAGGTTGCATGTAATATGCTGAAATGAATAAAAGGCTAGTCCTTAACACACGCAAACAAAAAAGGGGGTAGCACAGTTGACCAATTGGGACAGATTACCGAGTATTAGTATCTGTACATCCAGCTTGGCATCTTCAACTTAAACTCACTACTTCACTTCATTTAAACTCACTGCTTGCTTGGTAATCCTGCACTCATTGCCACTGCCGTGACAAAATCATTTCTATATTGGCGTCCTCAGTGCAGTCGACAGCTATTTCAGTGCTACCTGCATTTAAAAAAACTGAAGTATAGGCCTGCATTCCATACTTAGTGGGCAGGAAGCCCAATCTACAATTGCCTATCCTTGTGCTAGGGCATTTTTTGACGGGCCGTAACTGCAAGTTAAACCACTGTATGTAACATGTTTTTATTGATTGTGAAAGCTAATGTGCAGAAGAATAAGCGGGAAAAGTTTATGCATTATCAAAAATGTTCTTTTTTAATCGTCATCAAAAGTATCCCCTGCATACTCTTTTCTTGAAACAAGCACCATTGTATCTTCTTATTGAAGGGTGTCATTAATATAACCTTTAGAAGTTTTGTAAATAAGCATGCTGATAAAGTAGCGCAGAATTGTCACCACTCTGTCGTAAGCCTTTTTTGAAATAAAGGTCTACAAACTAGTAAAAAAAAGTTTTCTGGGTCGACTTTGATATTTCTTATAAAAATATCTGAACTACCCAGAGCAACGAAAAATAACTGAAAGTAAGCACAAATACGGCCATATTTAGCTAAATATATTTGAAGTACGTGGCTTCAATATATTTTGTGTTTTTCACCGCCGAATTCGAAAAAGATAGCAGGGCAGGTAAGCGTGGCACTCTACCTCTTCATCATTATAGCTTTAGTACGCTACAAAAAATATTTTTACAGCAAAACCAATGACAGATCTCTTCTTTGCACTCATCAGGCAACAATATACAATATTTTTAAAGAAATTTAAGAGATCGACCAGCTATGCTTTGTTCGATCTTAAGTGGAAGCACCCTTGTGCATGTATTGATTGATTTTAAACTAATAATCTCAGCCCAGCAGCCAATTTTTTTTCCTTTTAGGTTACGGATTCAGGCCTAGCTGAACAAAATGAAAACTTAGCCAGTTCGTAAGAGAAAAGTAGCATGTTTAGATACTTTGTGAGATTTAACCTCTTTCTCAATCAACCCAAATGTAACACCCAGCACTTCTTGAGCCTATTTCAGTGGCGCATTGTGGGTTTAAGTTATTCCATAGTCTAGATTGACATAGTAATGCTTTACACTTTAAATATTATTTGGCATTCTTTTAATTTACAGCCTTCATGTTGCACCTGTAAACCTGGTATGGTATGGCATGATTGCGTGGCAAACACAAGCGACAGACCCTAACATGAAAATCTTTCCGCGTGTCATGTAAAAACATGACTACACGCCATGCTCATGATGCGCTTGCAGCCGTTTAGACAGCGTCACATATACCAAATTTGCTATAACGGGACGTGAATGGATCACGAAAATATGACACTGGTGCAAACATGATAAACATGACATGAGTGTCATGTAACGACAAGACCACATGCTACACTCATGATGCGCTAGCGGTCATTTAGTTAGCTTCACATGTACCGAACTCGATATTACACGACGCGAATGAACGCCATACGTAAATTACACATCCAAACATGATAATCAAGGCATGCGTGTCATGTAACAACATGACTACATGCAACACTGATGATGTGCTCACAAACGTTTCGCTAGCTTGACATATGTTAAATTTGGTATTACATGATGCCGATGGATGACGAAGGTATGTGACTGGTGCAAATATGATAATCATGAGATGCACGTCATGTGAGGACATGACTACATGCCACAGTCAAGGGGCCTATACATTTTGACGTGACGCGGTGCGCGTGCTCGCCGGCGTTCATTTCGTCGCGTCACTCCGGCGTTGCCACGCCAGGTGCCCTTCCTACCATATACTCGCAGGCGCACACCGTGTTGCGTTGCTTTGCCGCATGCGCGTTTCAGCACGTCCGGCGTCCCTCCGTCACGAAAAGAGGGAGACGCAGTGTTGTCTGGGTAACGCATCGGTGCGCAATGCAGCATGTCACATTTTGCGCCAGTTGCTGTCGGGCTGCGCCGCCGGACGCTGGTCGCGCCTGACTTCAGACTATAAAGTGCTCGCGTTTGGCTAACGCAGCATCGCTGTGCCCAGTGTGGGTGCGTCAACGCTACATTGGAGTATATTGGGCCCTGCATGATGCACTTGTGGCCGTTTTGCTAGCTCCACATATACCAAATTTGGTGCTACATCAATAGATGACAAAATATATGACTGGTGCAAACCTGATAATCCTGACACGTGTGTCATATAAGAACAAGACAACATACCACACTCATAGTGTGCTCGCGGCCGTTTCACTAATTCCACATATACTAAATTTGGTAGCACGTGACGTGAATAGATGACGAAAGTAAACGACACATCGAAACGTGGTAATCATGACATGGAAGTCATGTACAGCATCATTTACCTCCACCTCGTGATGTTGTGCTAATTTTGAAGCGACATATCAATATTTTTCATTCGTGCTTCGCATATCATCGATTCCCACTGTACATGGGATCTGCCAATTATTAAAGTGCATATCGCATAACTATAATTACGTGATCACAAATCAACTCAAATGTAGGTCGACCCTTCTAAAATAGCTCGAGGAAGAAAAAAAGATCTAGTTTCGTTTTTTTTTTTTATTGTAGGTTGACCCTCCCAACTTCGGATTTTGTATTTAGATAAAATGCGATGATCTACAATCATATAAATACGGTAGGTGGCATCTGTTTTTGCACCACTGCATTTCCATGTTTGCACAATAAAAATAAGTGAGAAACAAAAAAAAAGTAAGGTTACCAGAAGGCTGTCTGACTAGGCTCAATGTCAATACTTGCAGCATTTGCAGATCAAAACAATTTTTCAAGTCGGTATGCAAGCAAGTACTCTACAGATACCGTCAACATGCACTAATTGAGAATTGCTTACCTTCTCTGATCATGCGGACACCGAAGAATACGAAGAGGGCAATGGACAAATAATGCGTGTATACACGGGGAATAACTGTAGTTACAAAGCCTAAGCCAGCTGCAAAGAAAAGGAATGTGAGCCATGAGACATTAGGCGAAATCAGAAATGTGATGAACAGTAGAAGGTTGCTTATTTCAAGGAGCTAATCTGACAAAGCTAGACGTAATTGCAGTACTTTCAATTTATGAAATGCATAGAAAAACAAGGATAACTCTTGAAATCAATATAACTTCACCGGCACTTCAATAAAAATGTTAGTGGTGGACATTAAGGCCTGGCAAAGACTAATCGCTCAAACTGAGTATGTCAAACTGAGTATGTATCCCACGTAGTGCTCAGCAGTGCCACATTTTTTACACAGCTCCAACAATTAATCTCAATGTATTCAACATTACATGGATGCTCCCTGCGCTATGCTTGGCTTCATCAATGTCAAATCAATAAAAAGAAAACAAAACAAAGGAGCATATTACACTGCTGTAGCTGTGGTCCACTATAGCTGATCCACCGTCAAAGGCATGTACAGTGAGCTCTCACTTGAGTGAACTTCAAGGGACTAAAGAAAACGGTTCTCCTAACTAAAAGTTCAGTAAAGTGAATATTCACTGAAATACGGAACAGCATTGGGCACAGTATAAATTGATTCGAATGTGTGAAATGCAACTTATCATTAAAAGAAATATGTCATTTTAATTTGTACTTGTGCCCTCAAAAGACAAAAAGAGACAAAGCTGTCCGGAGAGTCCACGTTTTCGTGCACTGCCTCTGGCACAGCTTGTTGTTGCGCCAGAGGCAGTGCACAGCTTGTGCTTGTCGTTGAGTGTTTCTTTACTTTGTGTGTGCATTATTTGCGGCCAAAGCATGTCAGTAAGCAAGTACCAACTAGGCCAACAATCAGTATTGTTGCTGTGACATGAATTCTTGAAACTTTCTAATATATCCGACAGCCCCAGCAAGAGATACAGAATTTGAACCTGCCTCAGCTATTAGAATTTCCAAATCCAATTTCCAATTTGCATCTCCCGCATAGCCGCTTTGACTTGGCGACGCTGTATGCGCAAGCGATGTTGCACTGCTTCCCATATATAAGTTATTTGGGGTCCGCAAACATCAGCTATGCCAGTGATGCAGAGCGCAAAACTGCACTGAGTTCACCTAAAAAATCAGCTTGGGTCTGTAGATCGTTTGTTCAAGTCAAATATTGACTATTCAGAAAAGCAGTTCACTGAAATAGTTTAGCATAAAATGCATATAAACACCACCATAAATTTTCCAAAATCTCATTACTCTAAAAAATTCATGAAGCCTGTATTCGTACAAGGAGAGTTTCCTGTATACAAAGTAGCTTTTGCTAATATATTTCCTCCATTTTTCATGAAATAGTACAATGCTCTATTGGGTACTACGTGCTCACCTTCTCTAGCAGCATGGTTAGAACTTGTTGCATGTGTACTAGGCATTTTGTTCTGAATATGCAACACTAGTGATACCTAAAAATCAAGATAGCCTAAAAATCGAAATGGAGACATCATTGCCATTGAGAGATAGCACTGTCCTCCTGGTATTCCGAGTATGCAGCAGAATGCATGTAAGTGTTTGTGAACACTGCTAAGTCCATAGCAAAATTTTGTTAGCATCACTAACATTCTGATAGGATCACTGTTTTTTAAATAATTGGGAAGTGGACTATCTGTAGTTTCATTTTAATAATGGAGTTGAAGCGGGCTTTTCTGCTCCTTTTGGAGCAACTGTGTTCCTGTGGGAAAGTGAGGACGAGAGTCAAGCGTACCAAAGAGAGAGCTGGATTGTATTCGGAGCAAGTCACTCCATGAAGCAGCCAAAGTTGTACTACCAAAATCGAAGGAGTGGACTGAAACTCAGCGTGATGTGCTTCGTTAACACAATTGCCAGCTTGGATGTTCCGTTGATGTCGCGTAGTTGCGTGTTTTTCCAATAATGGCGAACGACATTGGTGACAGGACAAAACGTGTGGCACTGCTTCTGCTGCCCGATAGGGCCCGCTCCTAGACAGAAAACTCCAGTTCCTGTATGAGTGATTTATCGGATAGTGGCAGCGACACTGAAACTGCCACATAAGAGCGGGACTTCACCAGAATTACACAGCAGAATGGAATACCTAGACGCAAGGTATTCTGGGCAACTCAGGCAATTCCACTTCCTCCTTGCTCCCATGCTTGCTACGATGGCACGGACTGTGTTCCAATCGTGGATTTGGAGGTGTTGCTCTAAACAAGAGCCAAGTGCTCACTTGCAGAGTTTATCGGCTGGCTGCTGTGACTCTGCCATGGGAATTCTATATATATTTCTTTTTATATAGGCAGGCAACAATGCTTTCGTTGTGATAGCTATTATATGGACAGTCTTGGCTCGCTCTTGCCATCGCTGCCGCCGTCATTCACGTATATGTATATTATACCAGTGCAATATGTATAAGTATGTATATGTACGTACATACATACATACATACATACATACATACATACATACATACATACATACATACATACATACATACATACATACATACATACATACATACATACAATATGTTTGTATATATATGCGGGGAAGGATGCACTAGCCTTCTCTTTCTGCGAAGCGAATATCGTCATTCTCCCGCCGAGCTCGCCTTTCCGGCCGGGCTCGAACAAGGGGGAGGGGGGGACCTATGGTTGCCGCGCTATCACGGAAACAGTGCGCAGCGTGTGCCCCCACAGCAGGTGCGAGATTCTACGGGCTGTGCTCTCAACACGAAAAAACGGTGCCATAAGTCTACTTGGAGACGCTGTGTTCTCTTACACCAGCATTTTGTAGAGTTACGTGAGATCGGATCTAAATGAATTGAGTGCCAGCCTCACTTCGTATATCAACCCCATCACTACGCATGAGCCTTGTTGTGGTCATCTAGTGTAGCCATGCCACAGGAAACTTGGTTACTTAGCAAGTGCATGTTTACTACAATTAATATTGCTCCTAAATATGCTAGCCTTGCTTTGTAAAACATTCAAACATGTTGCTATAACATTCATTGCTTAGCCCTTTTGGAGAAAATGTGACTTTTTTTCTCACTGTTCACATTTATAAAGAAAAAAAAAACTGTCAAAAATGAATGAGGTACACAACATGTATATACACGTAATGTTTCCCCATATGTACTTCTATGTGAAAAGTAGGACAGGGTCATAATTATCAACTGTAAGGAGTTGTAAATCTTGACCTATTTGCTACTTAACAATGAGCCACTTTCATTTGCAGCATGATAAGCTGCTGTTTGGAAGCACAAAGGCACATTAATAGGTGATTTGACATAATTTTATAAAATGTGGGAAATCGGTCGAGTTGCTCGGTTATTTGTAACACACAACCAAATGAAATGAACAGACAAATAAGACTAGGGGAGCATAGGAAACATTCTTTGTTATTGTTAATTAAATGTAATATATTAATTATGAAATAACCTGAATTTAAAGTGGATGAAAAAGCACCCTTTGAGTTATGCGTCTGATTTTCCACCTTTGGACACGCAAGTTTTAGTCATACCATACAAAATTGTTATCCCATAAAACTAGTGCAGGGACAACTATATGCCGTGAAATACATGCGATGAAAGTTTTCTGGTCACACTGCTTGCATAGCATTCCAGTGTTGCTTAATCAGTGCACACAGTCAATCACAGAAAACGTGGAAGAATTGCCAGCTACATGAAGAACTACCAGAACCAATATAGCTACTTTCAGAACCAATATAGCTACCTTGCCCACACTACAAATGATGCTCACTGGCTGATTATTAAAGCAATAGCGTAACAGACCTTTTTATCGCAGAAATCGCGGTGTTGGCATCGGCATCATTGGTTGTGAGCAAAAAATCATCTTGTCCAAGACCGAGAAATTGCGAAAGATGCAAATAAAGTAACTAATAAAAATTTTCGGTTCAAAGTGAGAAATGAAAAACAGGTCGTATGCATGACAAGCAGGCGTTCTATCGCAGAGCCATGGAGTTGCTTGAAACTGGTTTGGAAAAAGCCCACTGTCTAAATGGCATGTAATAAAGGAAGTCTCCTTAGCGCACGTAATATTGCATAATAGAATCCTAGAATCACACCAAGTGTCAAAACAAGCGAATAGTACAATGAGTGGGTGGCTTTAAGTGGGTGGCCACCCGTGACAAAGTACGCAGCTGAACAAGTGCATGTCACACCTCACAGACGAGTAGTGGGTCATTTAAGGTGAAAAGTTGAACTAGTTGGTATCGAGAACAGCATGACAAGGTACTAGTGAAATAAGAGACGAGTACGAGAAGAACAAAAACGGGGCTGCGCTAGATTTCAACTAAACCTTTTTAAAGTTGTGAGTAATACACCAATTAGCTAATGGAAGACTCACGGTGCATTGGGCATTTAGCAGTTTTACATCCAAGAGAAATTCTAGGATAGTTTGAAACGGCCAATGTTACGAGCACAAACGTTCCTTGCCTTGCGGCACGGTTGTAGACAATGCGCATGGAACCCAATAATGTTATCCCGTTCTAATCCTGAAGGGGAAGTTCAAGCGTCCTTCAAGCTTTTTTTCGTGCCATAGCAACCTGGATGAACAGTAAAAATACCTGAGAGCACTGTCATAATGGACAGGGCTGCAATGGCACCTCCAAAGACAACCAAGCGTGAGTGGCGCATGGCGAGGATCGCTGCAATGAAGAATGTTTTGTCTCCAAGCTCAGAGACAATGATGACTGAGATTGCCCCCAGGAATCCATGCCAGAATTCTGTGTTGGACTCTGTGGATACATCATCTTTAGAAGTCGGTGAGGCAGCAGGCTGCAAATGAGCACAGTGCATTAACAACTAACTTGCACTTTGCATGATGTTTCTAATGAAAAATGAGAAGTTACTTTTCGATTCCTACATTACATAATAAACAAGAGACTGTCTATTTCAGCTAGAACTGCATCAAGAATGGCCGAGTTCTAACCAGTGTAGTGATACTATCAATGTACTGCGATACACGTTTTCAAACAGTTAAGGAACAATTAGTACTTTTTTCGTTATAGCCCATGAATCATACCATTTTGCTACAAAAGTGACACTTCAAACATTCCAGGCTTGCAGTAAACAATTTGTTTTTAAGTTAAAAGGGAGTAGAAATCAAACATTGCATTAAATAAATACAAACAAAATACTCTTGACATCAGATGGATACTTACCTCACAATACTCAGAATTTACACACATACATCCTACCAACAGTAACGCAGAAGGTTGTTGGAAATAGCAGATAAATTGTATCCATAATCATTAGGTACAGAACAAAAAATAAGCAGGAATGTCACAAGTGATGCATTTGTTTTTACAAGAGTCAAACTCTTGTAAAAATGCTTGGTAGACGACAAACTCTGACTTGTCGTCTACCAAGCATTGCTCGAATCTTGTGCTCTCTTACCCAATCTCTGTCACCTAATGGGTGACAGTGATTGCACAGTGATCTCAAACTGTATAATCTAACTGTTGTACTGAAATTTGTTGTGCCAAGTGGCACTATGCTTTTTAGTTCTTGAGGGATGGTGTTTTGTCCCCCTCTCACCGAAAGCCAGTTCTCAGTCCCGGTCAGCAAGCCTGGCCACCAAGCCCCTTTGTTAAACAATATTGTTCATGGCTATGATCTGCTTTCTTTCTCCTCTCTTTCGTTTTCATTCTAAGTCTTTGTCTCTCTTTACTTTTTTATCATTCTCTCGTACATAACAACACAATCATATGGTTCCTATAAATGCTTGTTCGACTACCGTGCCTGTATAGCATTGTGGTTACAATGCTCGCCTTCAGATCCGGATTTGAATCTCGCCTCGATATTTTGCGTTATTTAATTCTTGTCCTCCTACCTACACTTTATTTTTTTTTTCCTGTCCTTGTTTTCACTTTAAGCAGAGCTATTTCTCAGCACTCCTCGTTTTACGAGGCTTTACTTAGGAGGGTGCAAATGCAAAAAAGGGGAGGGAGGGGGGGGGGTCAATGAGAGGCCACTGTGGCGAAGTGGTTGCCTTTCTTTTGGATTTATTTTGTCCTAGAGGGTCATCGCGTTCAAGCCTCTAAAAACATAAACGTAAACCTCTTCGACAGAGATCTGTCTGACTGGGTGAAAGACACAGATGCTAAGCTGGCACCTGCCACAGATAAAGACAAATCGAAACTGACAACCCCCTAAGAAGGAACCGAACGAGTCTTGAAACGTTAGAGCTACCATGATTTATATCTGGTGCCATTTCAACATGTAGGACTATCGAAGGAGTATGACATACAACTAGGTCCACATCATTACTTTAGTTGCTTGTTACTTCACCAGCTATTAGCTGTACAAATAATAATAAAAGCACGTGGGTATCCTAAACTGTGGTGACGGTGGAGATTAAGAGCAGCTAGACAGATTCAACAGCAGAATTCAGCAAACTCAGAAACTTACATAAACCAAATAATTTCAAAATCTCAGTTCACTACGTTGTACATATAGTGGCCACTATTGTAAATCCTACAGAAAATCTTGCATCCCTCTAAGTTTGTGACAACCTGTATATCAGCCACATTACCTAACACCACAGCAACAGGTGCTGCTTCAGTGATGGTGCTAACACCGTATTACGTCGCCTCTCATCGTCCACTACTAGCTTGCGCACAGGGACGTATGAACTGTTTTCACTTGCAACAGTGAACACAGAAATATAAGCTTTCACATCGCAATCGTACCTTGAACACATCTTCGGATGCACGGAAATCCAGATTCGGGACAGCTCCTTGGAGCTCATCAGCAACGTAGGCATAGGCACAAACGAGAAACGAAAGCGCGACGATGAGCTGGGGACACATAACGGATAGGCGCGAGCAACGGCAGTGGTCAGCTATATTTATAGGTGAAGCGGTGACTAGATCGTCCGTCGATTTATAACAAAGCAGCAATATAAAAGTTTCGCATTATCACTCTTCAGCCGACTGAATACAACCAGTTGATCACAAACGTTCACACGAAACCGGCCGGCGAACGGTACACGCTACAAGTAGGCACCTCGACACACGTACTGTACAATTGTGACTTTCACGGAGCGGCTATCCATACTCGACAGGCAGCCTTTAGCTTCTCAGGTGATCGAAAAAGAAGCTGCATTTCCAATGGAAAGTAGGACTTGACATCAAGAAAATCTATGAAAGCACATCGCGCAAGCTTCTGTCGGTGGACGAGTCGCGACGACCGTGACGGCTGTTACGTCGCTGTACACGCGTACCAATGTTGAGCCAAGGCTTGTCCGTATGTAGAAAACGGCGCAAGCGATGAAAGTCGCTAGTGTCGCGTCTTCTTTTCGCGCTTTGAGCATTTGAACGCCTCGCTCGCACACACACTTACCACTGCTCCAAGCCATACCATCCTCATGAGCGAGCGGGTCACAACAAAGGGGCAGAAAGAAAGGCTAACTGCTTGTTGAAGTGACAAGTAAGCCTTGTGCTAGCTTCTTTGTGGTAAGTGCGTGAAGTGCCCGAATAGTGCACCGTCGTTTTCTCGCTTAGCGTCAACCACGTGCGCGCAATCATCATTCTGCGTTCTTGAATTCCCTTCTTTCGTTATACAATTATTTAATCGAGGCAGTTGTTAGTTGCATCATGAATTGCTTGTAAGTGCTTGTACAGTTCACGATCCACCTGAACTATATAGCAGCGCTCTAAGGATTATCAAAAGAACTATAATGAATTAACGTAATCATCGGCAGGTGTTGCGCTATTGAAACGCTAGAAATAAGCCATAAGTGTGGATGCACTCAGACAACAGGTAAGACAAAATCGACACCGAAGCGGAAAAGGGGGGGTCCAGGCCGCACTCAAGATTTTAGTTCTGGCGCTTTCAGGTGGTATGTGAGGGATTGTTGGTCAGCTGCCGGCTCGTAATAAAATCACGTGCTACGTGACGCCAATAGGCAAAAAAAATTGCCCGCAGCTTCCCTCTGGGGAACACTGAGGAGGATGCGGAGCATATAATTGGTTAACGGGGTGTTAAAGTGCGACTTACTTGGGTCGATGGCTAAATTGGTTAACGTGGTTGTGAAATGGGGTGTTAAATTGCGACTTACTTGGGTCGATGGCTAAATTGGTTAACGTGGTTGTAGGAGGGGGTGTTAAATGAGTGAACACGTACACACGTATGCGAAAGGGCGGCGCTGGTCGAAGGGACGTCGATCATTGTGTTTGTGGATTCGTTGGAATTCATTTCACCGCGACCTTGGACGTCGACGCGCCGTACAAACCAACCGACGAGCGGCAACTGAGCGAGCGAGCGCCGACCTTGAGTATATATACAGCTCGACGGCGCATGCACTGTCAGCTGTTGAATGTTCTCGAAGCGCGACGCCACATGCGCGTCCACTGGAGAATCAGGAGAATTGTAGATGTCGAACGCGGTATGTAGAGGAGGAAGGGTGCACAGATGGTGGAGGAGTGAAGCACGCGCGGTGTGTAGAGGAGGAAGGGATGCACAGATGGTGGAAGAGTGGGCGACGGCGCATGCGCGCGCGTCAGCTGTCGAATGTTCGAGAAGTGGTGCGGACGGCGCGGACGGCGCACTACAAGGCGCGAGTATAAGATGCTTCCGCATCTAAAAGGACACAATAGCAACAAGCGGCGCTAACTGAAGCTCCCGCGTTTAATGTACATGATGAGGGGATGGCCGCTGTGGTAGCTCAGTTGGTAGAGCATCAAACGCGTTATTCGAAGGTCGCAGGTTCAGATGCTGCCCACAAGTTATTTCTTCATCCACTTTTCTTCACATTTACATACAATTACTTCTATTAATGTCCCCTATACGTTCCTAGGCATAATTATAGGTCAGTTCTTCTAACAAAGAATACGAGCCCTTAAATTTACCCTCCACATCATATATATCGTTTTTCCGTGTTTTTAACACAATAACAATGAGATATAACAGACAGTAATGCCAAGGAATGTACAGGGGAAGTTATTAACATTAATGGAATGTAAATAAGAAGAAAGAAAAGTGGATGAAAAAATTACCAACTGTAAGCAGGAATCGAACCTACGACCTTCGAACGCGTAATTCGAAGGTCGTAGGTTCGATTCCTGCTTACAGTTGGTAATTTTTTCATCCACTTTTCTTTCTTCTTATTTACATTCCATTAATGTTAATAACTTCCCCTGTACATTCCTTGGCATTACTGTCTGTTATATCTCATTATTATATATATATATATATATATATATAATATATATATATATATATATATATATATATATATATATATATATATATATATATATATATATATATATATATGAAACTTTGGCTATGCCCTTGGTTACTAAATTAATCGGTTTGGTACGTTTACGTTGGCTGCCTTCCACCACACTTGCCCCCAACGTTTCCGGCCACTTTGCCGCCATTATTACTACCACATAGAGTCTGAGGGTGGAGTGGTAAGCAATCGGAGAGCACCGCCGCTTCAACTGCAAGTAACCGCTCAAATAGCTATTCTGCTATCTCAGTTCAACGAAGCTATATACACAACTAGATTTGCTTTGACCGTGCCCACTTAGTTGCCTCTAAATGTTCGACTACAGACGTACGCCAGAAGCACGCACACCACGAGCAATGAAGCGTACTCGAAATTTGCCTTTCTGCGACGATTTGCTTCAACCTTTTGGTTTATGTGATTGACAGCTGCAAAGTTTGTACAGTGCGCAAATCAGTTTAATTGGCGACGAATAATACAGGCGATGGAAGTGGTGGTGAAGTGACTATGGTGCATTCCAGATTGTGGGCCCCATAATGACGTTCGAGACAGCTGCAACGTTTGTACAGCGCGCAAATCAGTTTAATTGGTGACGAATAATATAGGCAATGGAAGTGGTGGTGAAGTGACTATGGTGCATTCCAGATTGTGGGCCCCATGATGACGTTCGAGCAGGCCAGCAGTAAGAAGACGCAACCGCCAAGAAGAGTAACTGAAAAGGGAAAAAAATGGCGTGTAATAGCTAGGGTTAAGTTGAAGACAAACACTTTCATTTTTAGACTAGGTGTCTAGAAGACACGTTAAATCACTCACACCCGTAGCCACATGCGAGATAGTCGATAAATAAAACAAGTATTTATTAAGCCGAAAGTCTTAAATGCATGCCTCGTCAAACGAGAAATTTGACCGTCGGCGGCGGGTACGATTGATGGAAAATCATCATAAGATGACATCACCATTTCAAGTCATCCTGACGATACCGATCGCAAAAATTGTGTGGTATCTTCACGACGTCACAAATTATACATCGACTGAAAAGAAAAAGAAATGACTTAACCTTCGAGTCACCTTAAAAGAGCCATCTGAGGCCTTAAACTGAATTTAAATGTACCAAATGTGCTTTCGTTCGGGGCTTTGTTCCTTGGCCACAGTGACGGGAAGGTTGCCGATACCTTGGAGGAGTTTATTAAATGTTCAAATAAATTTAGATTGTGCAGCCAACTGATACTCCTATTTTCTAAATTGCGTTTTTTTTATTCCCATTAATTACTTCCTCAATTGGCCAGCTCATAGTTCCCATCTTTTTATTCATCTATTTGTAGTATTTGCAATTTTGTTGCATCTTTTATCTCTAACTATACGACATTTATCATAATAGGTAGAAATTGCTTTTTAAGACTACCCTGTTCTTGGCCCCAACTTGGGTGTGTGCCACTGTTCAAAGTTGTCCTCTAGTCTTATCTACTCTACGTCAATGCGGAATCCAGTGAGTTCTTCGCAAGACACCCATACGGTAACATAGCACACGCAAAACTTTTTTTTTGCAGGTGGGTGCATCCGCGAGGGGGGAGGGGGGAGGCGTAATCAATTTACACATCGCAGCCTTTCCTTCGCTGCCGTGACATGACCGGCAAGATTAGCCAGTTGCGTGCAATGCGCAAAGTTGGCTGTTTACTTTGGAGGCTGTTGTGCGAATCATGCTGCGTAGCTTATTACTACTACGTAGACAATTAACCTCCCAAATTCCAGGGTGACAAGGAGGCTCAGCTGCCCCCCTTGCGCCCCCCTCCGGACGCCCTTGTATATTCATGCCAGAAAGTTGATATCAAGAAAAGCCCGGGAGGCGAAGCACTGACTGCGATAGCAATGCACCTGACGTCTGTAAGAAGGTTCACAGTTTAATCGGTGTCCGCCCGGTAGAACAGTGGCTGGGTTGCTCGGCTGCTCACCCGAAGGCCACTGGTTCGTTCCCGGTGGTCGAATTTCGATGCAGGGGAAATGCTATAGAGGCCCGTGTACTGTGCCATGTCAGTGCATGTTAAACACCATGCAGATGGTCGGAATTTCCAGAGCCCTCCACTATACGGCGTCTCTCACAATATTATCGTGGTTGTGGGACGTAAAACCGCAGATAGTATTACTAATTTAGTTGGTGCTGGTAAACATTTGCGTATTAATTAGATTAACGAGCATACTGTCTGTGCGCGTGCGCAAACACGAACATATCCTACTTGATGACCGCATACAGTGGATTTATTTATTTATTTATTTAACGACGGTGCCGTCAAGTGGCCGTTACTATTTATGCAAATCGTGCGCATTACAAATGATTATCTCCACTACGAAGTACAGAGCAGGCGCGAAGAAAAGCAAATACATTAATGAAGCCACGGGGGGGGGGGGGGGGGAATAAGAGTGATGGAGTGCGATGGGGAAGGAGGTCGGAGCTTTGGTTGGGAGTCTGGGAGAGAACAAAGCCTGGTAAAGAGAGGAGTGCTGAGGCAAAGAGCTGGCTTAGAGAGATAACTCTGCTTGGCGAAGTGGAGAGGAAGAAGAAGGGAGGAAATGAGTATTGCGGAGCTAGGAGGATAAGAGGTAAAAAATGAAATAAAATTTCTTTCTGAGGCGGGATTTTAACGCGGATGCCCATGGTTGCCCAGCGTCGTAACCACTTGGCCTAGGCGCACTAACAGAACAAGCATTTATGGCAACCATATGATGGCGTTGCTATATATGAGGGAAAGAAATAGGAAAGATACAGAGAAAGAGACCGAAAAAGAGAAAAAGTGAGACATACAGAGAAACAGGGAGAGATTGGGAGATAAAGAAGGAATTGATAAAGAAGGATTGGGAGATAAAGATAAGGAAAACGTAGTACAAAACGATTGATTGATTGATTGATTGATTGATTGATTGATTGATTGATTGATTGATTAATATGTGGGGTTTTAACGTCCCAAAACCACCATATGATGATGAGAGACGCAAAACACAGAACGGTGGGAAAGAGAAATCATGATGAAGAGGAGGGAAAGAAGGATAGAAGTGGGTAAAGCCAACACCTTCTAGAAATATATGAAGGCCTTAGCTCTCTTCGCGTGACGTCACACGATGGGGCGAATTAAAAAAGAAGATATGGAGCGCTGTTCATAAGAGGTCGCCTCGCAGGTGCGCTGCGCGGAAACATTTCTTTTTCTGCAAGAACAAGCACGCATGTATTAAAAAGAAATAGAACGCCAGAAAACTGTAGCCGCAAAACATTTATTTACTATATGCCCAGTTTCTTTTCGTACTCGCTTTATATTACAAGCAATGCATGCCATTTGGCCTGTAGAGTTATGGCTTTCTTTTTTTTTTTTTGTCGGCATCGTCTAGAAGTTTGCGGTTCATCTTCCTATAAAAAGTTCTTTATGAGAATGTCGGTGCGGCGCCGCAGGATGTGTTTCAGCACTTACTCAAGTATGTGGCCATTCTCAAAGTATCGAAGTCGGACTGCTCTTCACTAGCCAGCAATTGTAGCGTCATTTTCGTTTCGACCTGGCGTTGTTCAGGCATCATAAGCAGGGCTGGCTCTGTAGCGATCTGCTGTACTACAACGTAGCTGTGAGAAACTGCGTTAAGTGCAAGCATTGATGGATAAACTAAACCTCCTCGGTCCAGCTGCATCGCGAGACCGCGATGTTCGTTTGAGGCAGAGACTGTGATCTTCTTGTTCGTGGTCAACGTGTCCCTGCATTGCTCGCGATCCAACTTTTTAAGGGTCCCTTATACTGCAAAACCTGCAACGTAGACGAGGACCGGAAGGACGTACTGCATCTTCGTATAAGAGCCTGACTGGTAACAACAACGGTGCTGCTGAGAAGCAATGCCTCGACTTGCTTTCAAACAGATTCTCAGTTCTGGTCAAGGGAAACTGTAGGCAAGGTGCTCTGGAGGCGCAGCTCGTTTTCGACTTCGTATATCTGCCTGATGGAGACGTGATATTGCGCACCTGCCAGATGCATGCTTATACTTTCCAAACCGATCTTCAATGCAGTCTGTTTGATTCTTTCCCAAAAGGACATACGGCATCGCAAGCTCTTCGAAGCTGTACCTAGAAAGCTCAACAAGCGCATAGATGGTGTGTTCGTGAGCAACGTGAGTCTCCTTTGTGAGAGTACATACCCTTGTCAAAGCCTTTGTATTTTCACTGAGCCAGCCACTTCAGGAACTCAAGCAAGAAGTCAATTTTCGGATCGTTACTAATGGAAATCAATAGTTGTTGGAAGTGATCTCTAAGCATTTCTTCCTTCCATGGAGTTTTGACGTTTACAATTTTCCACCACCTGAGTATTATCTCGATGAATTTAGCTGTGGCCCCGAAAGATAATAGGTTGTGCTTTGCTCCAAGAGCACATAACGACTCTGGTAAATAATGATTGAATATTTGTAAAGCAAGCTTTATACGTCCCGCCTTTCAAGATTAGAAGGGCAGAGGACTTTTCTTGGCAGCCCATAGCCATATTTCAACAGCTGGTCACACTCCTTGCTGTGAAGGTCCCTGATTGTTGCAAATAACGCTGTTTGCATTCGTTCTGATTCTGGCGTGTCTCCTTGGACCTTCGGGAAGTAGAAACAAATTTGGTCATTCTTCTAATTGAACCAGTTATTTCGTATGCATTTTAGAATGTGTACTGGGTGTATAATGGAGAACAGCAGTCTTGACGGGTCTGATGAATTTAGGTACACCACTCTGTTGCGCGGAGGTGATTCAAAAAGTGACATCAGTTTTCTATTCACACAGTTATTGTCGCTGAAAACGCATAGCCCACACGTCACGTCTTTAAGCTTCTTTTGCAAGAACTCCGCCTCTACTCGGTGCACCGGCACGATGTGCGCAACTTATTTAAATTTACACGTCAGGCTGCGCATCACGAAAACGAATGCACAGTCAGCAGCTTCATTTATGCAGCGCCGGCAATATTGCCACCATTGTAGTCAAAGTATAGGTTTTATATGCATTTCATTAGCCATAACTGTGACAAAGAGCTCGTCATCTTTCAGGTCAGAATTTTTTCTTGTCATGTGGCTGAGGAATGTTTCACTCTGATGCTCTTGTTGAGGGCTCAGACCATAAGAGGGGCACACTGATCTTATCGCCATATATGATGCGGCGAGGCGATGCTTCCATGGCTACGCGGAAACGCGTATACATGGGGAGATATAGTGAAAAGAATACAGCAAAACATCATGAAATCAGCAGAATAGCGCCTGCGCTGTTTTTTTTTTTTCGATAGGAGTAAGGTGATTAAAGTTTTCATAAATCGAATACAGTTGGCGTCGTCTTCTGCTTGGGACGTGCAAAGCTGATCAAGCAGTGAACAAACAGCCTCTCAAATATCAGCGACTGAGTTGGACATGAGGTCACCGTCCAACTTCTCGATGCATGAATTCCACCATACCCCTTTTACTGTTAGTAATATCGGGAATGCAGAGATTTGCTCTTCTTTGGCCATTTTCTTAACATGTAGTGTCACGCTCACGTCTCCTTTCACGCAAACACTGTATTTCAACCACGGTGCTTAATCGTTGACTGAGAAGAAGCCTTTCATTTCTTTCGATAACATCCCAGAACTTCATCCCTTTGGTAGACAAGTTCGCTCAAACTGTTGGCTTTATCCTCTCCGCGTGCTCTAAATGCCTCGTTGGACTCAGAGGCGGTTTTCTGAAAGGCTGCATTCTGCGTGCGCGCTTGGAGTCCGGATCTTCCCTCCTCGTGGTCTTTCTGGACAAGTAGCTCTAATAACTCGGGAACTTCGATGGTAAAGCGTCAGGGCGAGGGCGCACATGAGATAGCGGCACCGTCATTACGTGGCCAGTTGCTTCATCTGTATGCGTCGCGTCTCAAATAATGTCTTCGTCCGTGAAATGAAGTTCACATACCTAGAAAAATAAATAAGCTCAAGTCAGCAAACAGTCGGCTACATGTCACACAAACATGTGACTCAGGAGCCACCTGTACGTACCTGTATGCACGTATATATTGTTACGTGATTTCGGCTGACTGAAACAGGGCATAGTGGGACATACCCCAAAAAAAGGTGCCTCAGACTGAGAGTGAAAAAGTGGAAGTTGTCGGTGAGCTGCATTGAGGCTGCTGACTGACTACGGTTATTTTCCACGTAACATTTTTGGTGGAGGTGCTGGGTAGCCGCTGGAACTGCTGCAAAATGCGTCGACTCTTTGCCTGCTCGAGATGGCGGCACTCTTTGATCACGGCGTCGATGGTCGTTACGTTGGTAAATACAAGCAGGCTGAACGCATCGTCGGCGATTCCTTTTAAAACATGCGAACTCTTGTCGGCCTCAGTCATGTTGGGATCGGCCCTTTGACACAACGCTAAGACGTCTTGGATATAAGTCAAGTAGGGCTCAGTGGACGTCTGTGTACGTACAGCTAATTGCTTTCGGGCATCAAGCTGTTGACCAAACGGGTTGCCAAATAGGTCGCGGAGCTGTTGTTTAAACATTTCCCAGCTTGTGATTTCGTGCTCGTGGGTCTCAAACCAGATGCGAGGGGTCTTGTCAAGATAGAAAATGACATTCGCAAGCATAACGGTTGGGTCCCAGCCATATTGCTTGCTGACGCGCTCGTACATACTAAGCCACTTGTCCACATTCGCGTTTTCCTCTCCAGTAAAAGTACCGGGATCACGGGGTTGCGTTAGGGTGACGTACCGGGTTGCTGTCGTTGCTGAGGTAGGTGGCGAAGCTGTATCCTCACCCGGAGCCATGGTAGCAGACTTAAGGAGGCGTCCACTGCGTAGCTCCGTTGTCAGAAAAGCACCCAGCACTTCCACCACGTAACATATTTTCCACGTAACAATATTCTTTCAATTAACTAACCTAAATAAAAAAAATACCCTGGAATTTTCGGAGATCATGTGGTTTTCCCGCGGCACAGCGTGAATTCAAGCGTCCCTTGATCTGTCGGGAGCTTGAAAACGTACACCTTCGTGTCCACCGTGTAGTTTCCGCCGGTTTCCGCGACATCGAGATACACAGCATTGGCACGGCATCGAGCAAGGCGTCATCGCTTTCACATTCTTTTCACGGCGAAGAAAACACGTCCGACTGAATGAGCACGGCCGCTGAATGAAAGGCGCTCTTTCATCCAGCGGCCGTGGCATGAGTTCCTGGAACTGGAAAAAGAACTAAGGCCTTCATGGAGTTCCTGGAAAAAGAACTAAGGCCTTCATGTTTTTCTAGAGGGTGTTGGTAAAGCGTATCATTGTCATGTATACTACAGCATAGCAAGGGGGGGGAAAGGGAAGTGGAGGTGAGGATGAGGTAAAGAAGGAGGTTTCCATATCTTCGTGCATAGCTGTCCCAATATTAATTAATTAATTATGTAATTAATTTAATGCTACGAACTCATGGTACAAGCAGGTTGGTCAGTCCGTGGCCTATACGCAACAGACGCCTCTGCCGCGGAGGTATATAGGGGTCATCAGATTAACTTTACAGGCAGCAAATTTACGTCACTAATTACACAGAAATCATGAAGTAAGGGTCTGGTTTCAGTACTGCTAGCAATGGACGTTCCATTCACCTGAACGCAAGGACATCCTATTCGCTATCAGGCATCCACCGTAAGCAGCAACCACGATGCACACCGCGTGGCCCAAGATGGCGCCCGCAGCAACTTTCGTGACGCTCTGAAAAACAGCACACAAGATTAACGGTGCGGCGTCATAGGAGGAAGCGGTTCACACCCCACGTAAAATCGCAAATTGGCATGAGTGTAATATACGAAGGCACACATAAAAACGTACGCACGAACATACATAAAGTATGGTTGACCAGAGGAAACTATGTGTAGACCCCCCCGAAACAAATCGGTTGTTTTATGTCCAGTGAAGGATGTTTAGATTATTGTTGCGGTTTGCCTGGCAACCGAGATCGAATGAGACAACCCTGTCTTGTCCGTTGGAGGCGTTCAATTTGGCTCTTACGATGTCCTTCAGTTTGTTTACGTATGGATAACCGTGGAAAACAACTGTGTGCGTCAGAAGCGGCATCCAGATTTCAGTCACTTTATATAGAGATAAGTACCGGTCTGTTTTTGAAAGTGGATTTTAAGTATCTTTCAGGAATTACACGTGTATGATATACGGGAAAGGCTTGCTTTCGCAACCCCCCTCATTCGTGCTATATATCCTCTTCAGACCCCGCGTACATTAAAATTCACATTTGTTTCAACCTCAATTTTGAATTTCGCGCCACTTCAGTAGCAAAAAAGTGCATGTGCGATTGCGTCGCCTATCATGTGCTGCCATCTGGTGAAAAATACAGGAGCACACAGTTGAGCTAGCAGAGGAAGGCAATCCTGGGACACAAGTGGGCAAAAAAGGCCGACCCTTGAAATCAGAGAACACCAGCCAGAAACAGCAGCAGCTCAGCGCTGACCATAAACAGAAACATCCCTATCCTCAAACGCAGTCAAATGACCATCCACCACAAAGCAAACGCACTGTAGTCCTAGGCGACTCCAATGCCCATCGATTGAAAAAGCACCTCCGTAAAGCTATACATGATCAAAGACTACGCATCACTACAAAATCTGGTGCCAATCTTGAAGAAACACTTCACCGAGCTGAAGGAGAAATTCAGAAGGCAAATGCCACCAACACAGAGCTGCAACTAATAATACATGTAGGTACTACTGATCTTTTAAATAAAGCAGACATTAAAAAGACCACTGACCACCTGAAGCAACAACTGACTTACTGGAGCCAAAAGACACCCAAACACCACTACATAGTCAGTGCCATCCCTGAACCGAAAGCAAGGGGTCAACAATTTGCTACAGCATGCCAAACATGGAACACGGCAGTTCAAACGGCGTGTACAGCCTTGGGCCCCAGTGTGCGGTTTATGTCAGCAGCCGCCCAGCTAACCGCAGATCACCTGGATGATATCCACTACTCGGAACAGGCAGCGGACCAGGTTGGCAGCCAACTAGGTGAGGCCATTAAATCTTTTTTATGGGACAAACAACCAACGCGCCCACAACACTGGAGACGATCAACAAGACCAGATCAAAGGACAGTGCAAACGCTACTGAAAGCAATGACAACAGCCCTAGGCAAACTAGGACAGAGAAACCGGCACTGGTAAGCAACCAAGCAGGCAAAACCATACGCACAACCCCCCCCCAATTTCAGTCCTCCAGAGATCATTGTCAACCACTTTCCAGAAAAAGAAGAAACAGAAGAACAAAGCAGAGTGAAGTGAAAAAGAACTCACCATATGCCTACTAAACATGCAAGGAACAAACAAACTCAAGTGGGCTGAACTCCAAGACCAAGTGAACAGACAAAAAATAGATATCTACGCTCTAACGGAAACTCACCTGCGGGACGACGAACAACCTCTGCTCCCGGGGCTAGTATGGCAAGGAAAGAACAGAAGTAAAGGACAAAAACGGGGTGGAGGCATTGGTTTTATTACACCGAAGAGAAGCACTGTAAATGGGGACTGCCAGGACAAGGAACACATGTGGATAAAAATAAAGATTGACACACGTGACCTGTACATTGTGTCATATACATGGCAACAGGCCTCGAGGAACAAAAGTGGAATGACAGCATTTACGCATGCCTCAAGAAAGACATTGAAGAAACCTACAAAGGCCAACCGGTACTACTGATGGGAGATTTCAACTGCCACATAGTAGAATTGGATGGTCACGAAAAAGATGCTGCTGGCTTCCGAAAATTAATTAAACAATGCAACCTACAAATAGCAAACCTCCATCCAGCTTGTGAAGGCACCTACACATGGTCACGCAGAGCTAACAAATCTGCTATAGACTACATACTTTACAATCAAGAGGTAGTAAGGCAAGATATAAACATCACAGCTCTGTACATAGACGAAGACAAAACAAACAGCTGTGGAAGTGACCACAACCGAATGAAACTGTGCCTCAGACGCCATCAACCCCATCGAGTAAACCGGCCTGAAACTACAAAAGCTCACTGGCGAGTGAAAGAGCAAGAGCGCCTGGATGAATTTTCCAATAAACTCGAGTCAACATTAACAGAACCTCTAACATACGAGGAATTCGCAGAAAAATGCCTGTCAGTAGCACAAGAAACCATTGGGAAAACTAGTGAAAAAAAAAGGACCAGAAACACACCTTGGTTTGATGGAGAACTGAAGACAGAAATTCGCATTCGCAAAGAATTATCCAGAAGGCACCGTCATACGCCCAATGAGTCGACAGAAAAAGAGGTAATTTGGAAGGAATACCTGGCCCAAAAAGAAAAGTAAAGGAAATGGCCGCAAAAAAGATAGACCAGAAATTCCAAAAAGAAGAAGAAAACCTGCATAAGGATCGTAACCATTACAGTCAGAAGTTTTGGGCATACATAAGGACACTGGAACCAAAGGACACCCTTCAGGAAGATTCACTCATACTACTTACTGAAAATAGCATTCCTCTACATACCAAAGAAGAAATTGAACAGCACATAACTAAACATTTTAAAAATATGCAAACCAATCCAGTAGATCCACCACCCCAGATCAGCAGTAGAAAAAAGGACAAGACCAGCACACCTGAAGAAGAAAAGCTGACTGGACCAATTTCTAAACTAGAACTAAAGAGACGCATAAATGATCTAAAAAACCAGAAAGCAACAGGACTCGATGATATACCCAACGAATTCCTGAAAGCATTCAAAACAGAGGCAAAGGAAATGCTACGCGGCTGCCTCAACGACATTCTGGCAAGCAGAAAAATACCAAGAACTTGGAAAGAAAGCCGGGTAAAGCTGATTCACAAGGGAAAGGGAAAGGAAACAAGTGACATTGGGGCGTATCGCCCCATAACAATACTGAGTAGCATTCTGAAACTCTTCAATACAATCCTGAATCGCAGGCTACAAAACCACTGTGAAAAAACCTTAATCTTGTCAGAATCGCAAAATGGATTTCGCCCAAACAGACGGACAAGTGACCATATCTTTACCCTAACCCAGGCAATAGAAATGAAAAACAGAGACAAATCTCAACTATACCTGGCATACCTGGATCTACAACAAGCATATGACTCAGTGCCGCACTCACGACTGTGGGAGAAGCTAGAAAAAATTAATATTGAGGAAGACTTCATCAAATTACTAAAAGCACTATATGCAGAGTGTACGGCAGTGTATGAACTGGGCAAATATAAATCTAGACAGGTGCAACAAATATTGGACTCAAACAAGGGTGCCCACTATCGCCAACATTATTCAATATTTACATTAACAGCCTACTAGAACAAGTAAATAGAGAAGGACCAGGGCTACGTCTTTCCACCGTAACAACTGAGCGCCAAGAAATCTACACTAAAATTTCATGCTTGGCATTTGCCGATGACATCGTATTATTGGCTGAATCCCCAGCGGACCTGCAACATCTCCTCGACATATGCTCTCGCGTAGCCCACGAAGATTGCCTCACATTCAACACTGACAAAACACAATGGATGGGCATAAACATTGATGACAAAGACATAACATTCACCATCCAAGGCAACACCATCAAGAAAACAGCAACATACAGATATTTAGGCATAACAATATCAGACCAAAAGAATTACCTTGACAAACACCAAGAATTACTCCTAAAACAATCCAACCGCCTAAAAGGTAGGGTGTGGCACCTGTCACGGCATTCCTACAACCCCTACAGGGTAGGCCGCACACTTTGGAAGACTCTTGCCGTGCCTGCAATAACCTACGCAGGTGACACATTGGCGTACTCTACCCAAACAGTGCGATGTTTGGACCGCCACCAAAATGAACTGGGGCGCTGGCTACTGGGAGGCAGCTTTGCAACAGCAAACGCAGCAGTAACAGGGGAGTTGGCCTGGTCAACTTTCGAAGCACGCGAAGCAAGGTCAAAAATACAATATGCGGGCCGGCTAAAGTTTCTACCAGAAACAAATTACAGCCAGCGCATATACCTACACCTCCGATACAGGGGCATAAAAACACAGTGGATGAAACGACTGGCTTCTCTGGAAAATAAATTCGGCCATAACACAAAACTGGAAGAAGCAAAATCGGAACGAGAATGGCGTATAATAACAAAAAACACTATAACCGAAGCCAGCACAGAGATGTGGCGCACGTCGGCGGCAAAGAAAAGGAGCCTACAGTTATACCTCGAATACAAGCAGGCTCCAGACCGTGAGCCATTTACAGGGGCGACCGGGAAAGCGCCCTCCTGTTCCAAGCCAGGACGGGGTCACTGCCCACGCGGAAGCGGCATTGGGAACTGTTCGACACGGACCCGTCGTGCCGCCTATGCGGGGCCACGGAAGAAACCATCCAACATATCCTGATGGATTGCCCGCGACTCGGAGCGAGGGACCTACCCAAGATAAACCTGGCGGAATATCTGGGTCTCCCAGATGATCCCGTCGACACCCGAGTCGAACACACCGAGAGTGCCAAGCGACGTCTAAAACTCTGGGACAGACTGTGCTGGCAGGTGGACAAACACCCCGACAGTGTCCAGCGCAACGAAGGGCCGACAGAAAATATCTAAACGACGCCGACGCCACTGGATAGACTTGGCCGAGGGCACGTTTCCCCTGGTGGCGAAACGGGCAATTTACTACCAGACCTTTCTTTCTTCGAACAGTAAAGTGGAAAACGTGTGAGTGCGTGTTCGCGTGAAGTGCGTGTAAAACACAAAATGTTTTTTTTTTTTTTGACGGTGGCGCGGCAAGCGCCTGACTGGTGATGTGTGTGTGCGTGTGTATGGATGTGCGTTGAAGCGCACAACTTTGTCCTGTGGCGCTGCTGGCGCCTGCCCTGTGCCAAAAGGGATTAGGAGCACCTACTTACTTACTTACTTAGGCATAGCACAGAGAGCTGAGTCATAGCCTCCTCTATAACTTTGTGCCCGAGCGGTCGGTCCCTCAGCGCCGTCCCCCGAGCTATTATGGGATGCGAGCGCTCCTGGCGGAGCGCCGAGGCGCAAAACGAGAGAATGGATGGCAGCTATGGAGAAAAAACCGGCTTTGAGTAACTACCGAAAGGGCAAAAATGAAATAAGGAGGGAGGCATTTTACGATAATTCAAGGGGAAGCGCTTTACTGTTTGAAGCGAGATCGGGTTGCCTTAGAACGCGTAGTTATAAAGCAAGATTCAGTAAAGAAGAAGAACAATGCACATGCACCAAACACCTCTGCGCCATCGGATGCATTAATTAGGCACCAGGACAGAGGTGGACTCCTGTATCCGTCAACTGAGCTCGTAATGGTTCTAAATTCTCTAAAGAATTACGCGGAAGTTTTCCTCGCAAGAGCGAGAAAGATGAATCAGCCACTGAAGGCTGCCGTTGACAACGCCGCGCAAATACTACAGAAACGTGACAAACTCAAGTGCTCGACCCCGGGACATCATAAAAAACTTTTGGAGGTTGTGCTCGTGAAGTTTCTCCGCCCACTTTTTCTGAACTTCGCGACGAGTGTGACTGACAAACACGACTTGGCAAAAGATTTTCATGTCAAACCATTGTCTCGAAAAGTGCTCAAGCTTTGAGCGCGAAATCAAATAACAAAGCTCACATTGCATTCTGCATACAGTGCTTGTGTTAAAAATTTGGTGTGTGCGCACTTCTTAACGTATACGCATAATCCAATGCAATGTAGACGGTTTCTAGACCGTCATAAACGCAAGCGTGCATAGGCCGCGTCGTCTGCTGTTATTATGGGATCGGTGCGGCATCTGGCGGCGAGCGCCAAAACTATAAGGGACGGATGGCGCGTATGTATTTAGCGCTAATGCGCGGGCACAAAAAAATATAGGAGGCTATGGCTGAGTTTGCGCTGTCAAACATGGCGTCTTTCTCGACTTCGACATTCTACTCGCGGTGTCCAAGTAAGTTGCATTATACTCACTACTGGTCATGTAATGATTTGTAATTTTTGTTATAATCTGCTTGTTAAGTGCTGAGGACTAATTCCTGCATAGTGCGCAACTTTAAAGGCCTGTATTTTTGTTTCCACAAGCTGTTTTCTTGAAGTGTACATTACAATGCACACTCGGTCTCAATGCCTATGTATGCCAGCGTGTGCATCTAATGTTTTCATGCGCTTGATTACTCTTTGGCGTAATACTTCGGCTTTTATTTCACAAAGGACTCAGTGATAAAGAAGCGGAGCGGGTCCTGGTGGCAATAGCCAGTAATGACACTTCAGACATAGAATTGTCCGATGATGAAGTGGACGACCCCTCCTTTGTTGTCGGTGATGCCGCGTGCTCCGATGGTAAGCGATACACTAACCATTTTTATGGGTGTACCAAAGTTGTTCATTTTCACTGATGGGGAGCGTTCTTTACAGATGTCTCCAGTGAGGAGGAAGAAGAAGAGCAGAATTCGAGCAGTACGCGCTCTCGAGACGCTACGTGGAGAAGAGGAGTCTCATTTGACTCGGCCATCAGCGACGTGCGGTGTGCACCGGACACGTCACCCGATGTCAGACAGCATTGGCGGCCAAGTGACTATTTCCGACAATACTTGTCAGACGCCGTGTTTGACACCATGCAGGAAAAGACAGCTGTCGCGTTCCACCAAAAGACGGGGAAAATTCTTAATTTCTCATGTTCCGAAATGCAGAATTTTCTGGGTGCGACGTTGAGTATGAGCTGTCTTGGCTACCCACAGATGTGTCTCTATTGGGCACGGGGCACAAGGGTGCCTGCCATTGCCGACGTCCTCACCCGAGATCGGTTTTTCACGATAGTTATAGCGCGAGAACAAAACGTCGGCACAGAGACAAGAAGGACACGAAAGACACGTGTCCTTCTTGTCTCTGTGTCGTCGTTTTGTTCTCGCGCTATAACTATCGTCATGCCATACCAACTAGCCCAAGCTGCCACACGGTTTTTTACGCTTCGCAGCATGCCGAAACCCAGGATGTTCGCAGCGAACAAAGTTTCGATGCACAACATGTAACATCTTTCTCTGTATCACAACCGCGCGGAACTGCTACAAGCAATTTCACACGAAATGATGGCGCTTTTGGTAGCAGCAGTAAATTTCAGATAAAAGTGGATTCTGACACTTTCTTATGCGCTGAGACCCAGTGTGCATTATAACGCACATCCTGGTGTGTGAAATCTGTTCGTGCTAAAGTTGCAATATTTTTCTGAGGCAATAAAGTATATGTAGATGTTTTAAAAATGTGTTTTTATTTCACCTGTGTGGCGAAAAATTCACTCGGGTCTGAGGAGGATATATGGGCTTCTATGCCTGGCCTATGTGGTAGACTAAATTTCGAAACAGTGGTCCGCTGGTTGAGCGTAGGTTTGAGACCCCAAGTACTACAGGTCTTGTAAAGCCATGCATATATCTATGACAAAAGCAATTTCGAACAAACACCTTTATACGATTTCATCGCTACAGTTTTAAAAGACACTCGATGAAGTCAGTCTCATATCGCCCAATTTTAAGTTTCAAAATAAATTGTTCACAAAAAAGTTTGCTGAGCTGAATTCTTTTCCAGACCAATCAGGAGTGCGGAAATTGGTTCTCTACACTCATCATCGTAATTTACAGCACATGTCCACGCAGTGCGCACATGTACATACCTCATTGGCTGCGAGAGCGATTGTGGAGATCTGCGACCTATCCCCCCATTCTCCCAAAAATGTCAAGAGGAACGTCTGTGCGAGCGCAGAGTTGCCCGCAACTTTTGTCCAGCTGCTCTTCGCTCCAGACGTCTGCAAAAAAAAAAAAGAAAAAAAGGAAAGGCTGTCACGTTCAGCCGTCACCCCTCTTTGCCATGCGGTCACACGCCCATTCCTCCTTGTCTCTCTTGCATATATATCGTGCGCGGCCAACTGACTGATTTCACTTCGTTTCGAGCGTTTTCGACTTCGCAAGCGGAGACAGCAGCGTGTATAGCCGGAGAGCGCGAAATCCCGATACAGCTCAACGGTTGCTTGCTTGTGCATATGCTTCGGCTCGTACGGGAGATTGACCATTAAACCGGTGGTTAGTATAATGGGGATAAAATAATTTCAAATTTTTTTATGAAGGGAAATGAATCAATCAGATATCTAGGGAATATGAAATTCAACAATCATAAGGACACTTACGAATAAAGTTGCTGTCATCGTCCACGTGGCATGACCGCTATTATCATTTTTTATCCAGCAGCCGACGTGCACGTAGTTTCATCACCATAATCATCATCATTATCAGCAGCAGCAGCACCTACTACAAGGCAAAGATGCATGTTCTGGCAACCAACTCGGTCCTGTGCTTGCTGCTGCCACGTTTAATACCATCTTCCCACCTATAGTCTGCCCCTTATTCACGCGTTTGCCTTCGGTTATCCTGCCCTGCGCTACGTGCCATATCGTCTTCTTGATCGTGGTTCATGAAAAAGTAAGTTGCAGGAAAGGAGACATCGCCTGCAGGTATTGCATATAGTGGAAGTTAAAACGAAACCATGCTCTCAGGGGCGTGAGTCCGTATGACGCGCATGTGGTGCTGAGTGCCACATGCGCGATGACAGGGGAGTTAAACGGAGAAATTTAGAGAATTGAACACCACCCACCCCTTCTCCCAGAAATTTCATACTTTGCTTGCGTATGTATACACGCATACATACAAAAAGCACTCATGAACATACGATACATAATGTATAATTGAACCCCTGCCGAAATTTCCGGGTACGCCGCTGCTGAGCTCGGGCAAACATGAGCGCTTGCTGTCACGACGTGTTCGACGCGGTGGCGTGATCGAGCAAGAGCGCAGATATAACATTGCTGCTGTTAGGCTGCAGCACGCCACTGAAATGTGAGATTACTATACCTCCCCCTGATAGAAAGCGCAATAGAACATTGAAGGGCGCTTGCTATGCGTCAGCTTTGCGCAACCACGGCACGAAAAGGTGTCTGCTCAATAATAATAATAATAATAATAATAATAATAATAATAATAATAATAATAATAATAATAATAATAATAATAATAATAATAATAATAATAATAATAATAATAATAATAATAATAATAATTTGTTCAGCATGTCTGGAAATAGCCGTAAGATCTACGAGCTAGCACACACAAACAAAAAAATTATTACTAATAAACAATACATTAAGCACAGCCTATGGCAGAAAATAATAAGAAAAACAAATAGCGAAAATGCAGAACCATAAAATTAGGACAGCAGGCGAAGATGCAATAACATGAAAAGTGATATATAGAAGGTCAATGATAAATCGAATAAATCATCTACAATGCACATTGAAAGACAAAGTATAGAACAGCTTGAGCTTCGTATTCAAGAACATATTGCGATAGAGTGATCTGCAGCCGCGACGTTCACACCGTATTCTCATTCGCCTTCCAGGCTTTGTTTGTGGAGATTTCAACGCGCCGCGAGAAATGCCTGTAACGTTGGCAATTTTCGAACCCTCCTGGAATGCACTCGTACATGCGAGTGTAGTTGCAAAGCGCCCAATGATGCTCAATTCATCCTAATGCGAATCAGTGAAGTGCACACTAGAAGACTGGGCGTGACGGTTTTCGGGATAATGCGTTATTTTCAGGGGCGAAGCATCTCTCGGCTTGTCACGGGCGTCTCGCGCCGCCACGAGTTGTCATGCCATCGTGAGCAGGTATGCGCCACAAAAATTGGGTCAATCCCGCTACTCGCCACTGGTCCACTATGAATGAGGAAGGCAACAGTTAGCCGAACAAACAGCCTATACGGCGCTATAGTGGAGCTGAAACATACATGCTGTATGGAACTGGGGCCGGGAACATAATAAGAGAAAAAGAAGAAGAACGGCGGCGCTATGTACTTGGAAGAACCTTCGGCACCAAGCAGCTGTCTAAAAACGTTGGCACCGAGCACTCACCACCGGTGAAGAACTATATGCAGCGTCAGCGGCTCAGAATTATGCCATGGCCATGCTTAGGAAGCGAGGGGCAAGGGGTTCGTTGTGCCTCCACATCGTTGTCATGTATAAGCATTATCATTGTGGATTCACCGTATGGCTGTCGGGCTCTCGGGCCAAATAAAGGTCGTTCAAACCAGAACCTCATGAATAAATAAATAAATGAAAGCAAAAAGTAAGTACACGTACGAGGCAGCATTACCTTTATGCCTAACGTACGTTTCAGCCATGGCACGGCTGAAACCTTATATATATATATATATATATATATATATATATATATATATATATATATATATATATATATATATATATATATATAGGCATAAAAGTATTGCTATTGCTTTCTTTGCTTTCTCTCTCTCTCTTATATATATATATATATATATATATATATATATATATATATATATATATATATATATATATATATATATATATATATATATATATATATATATATATATATATATATATATATACACCACCGATTAAACACCCTCGATAGAGGACTAAATGAGAATCCTGGTACACTTGCAGCAATTAAAGAATTAGAAAACAACAACGGCAATAATGAAAATAGTAACTGAGTTCACGGCACTGCAGCTGCGAAGGGCACTGGACAACTCAAAACAATTCCAAGTGTAACTACTCTTCCTAAGTGCAGCTGTCGTCTGTTTTATTTTACTACCCAATCAATTGTGCCATGCATGACATGCCCAACAGCAACCCTGTGCACAGCCGGGAGGCCCCCACTGCACGCGTAATCCAGAAGCGGGCAAGGAATTCGCATTGCGCCCGCTTACCAGCCTCTGCCGCAATACGCGGCACCCCTCTTTCTACGACGAAATGTTGACAGGGCTCCGAGTAGTTAAAGGCTTAGAACTTCCTAAAAAAGCTCTTTTTTGCCCCACACTGAACCGCCAGTGCCAGGAGGCGCCGTCTGGTCGGGAAGAATGCGCTAGTGAAAGGAAGCATACACAGACCGCTGACATCAGAAAGGTAAAGGGGAGAAGGGAGAGAGAGATGAAGGGGGAAGTGGGGACTCCCCCCCCCCCCCCCGGAGGAAGCGCCCGGGCGGGAGTCCACCTTATATTCTTTTTCTTTTTTTTCTTTTTTCCTTTTCCCCCTTCTTTTCTTTTCTTCTTTTTTTCTGTATTTTTCCTCTTTCCCTCTGATTTGAGATTGTATAAAGCTGAGCACCAACAAACTGTACCTTTAATCCTCATGAAGGCCAGACTCTAGGCCGAAACGTCGAAATATAGCACGTTGTGACCGCTCACGGAGGATCTACTTGACTATATGCAACGCTACGGCCACTCAACCACCATGCCTGCCTATATATATATATATATATATATATATATATATATATATATATATATATATATATATATATATATATATATATATATATATATATATATATATATATATATATATATATATATATATATATATATATATATATATATATATATATATATATATATAATAAACTCAACATTCCATAATTATTTCGAGTGGAGAACAGGGTACGTAAAAAATGAAAACTGGATGAAAAGGAATACAGAAAAGCACATCATATACCTCGTTTTCAGCTTCCTGGATAACAACCTTAGTTTGGGTTTTTTCCATCGCGTAACCTGAAAACGGATCTTTGTCACACATAGGTCATAAGAATAATTCTGCAATGACATGCATAAATTTCACCTACCTTCAGCGATCATTCTGGAGCCGAATATAACCAGAAGGATCACGGACAGGTAATGCGTGTAGTCCTTCTGCATGACTGAGGCGATTGAACCAATCATAGCTAAACAAAAGAGAGGTAGTAGATATATATTGCAATGGTGCTATATGGTGCAGTCATATACATTCAACGGAGCTTGCAATAGAAATTTTCGCCACTAAGCATACTGATCGAAGCGCTGAGTGAACACATGCACGAGAGAGATGCCACATAATGCAACAAAAAGCCCCCACGAAGGCGGTCGTGAACTATTATGTGGGCAATACACGCTGTTTTTGTAGGTGTACTATTTATACATACCTGAAAAGACCGACATTAATGCGTTGGCCGACAGCGCCCCTGCAATGGCGGATGCCTTGGAGTGCTTCATTGCCATTAGCGCTGTAATGAAGAAGGTCTTGTCCCCCATTTCGGAAAATATGATCATGGTGGCTATTGCAAGAGTTTGGGAATCCATCCTTTTCCCGGTGATGCTCACTCCTATTGCGCGTTAATTCTACAACGGCTGGGCGACTGGGGCACTCGTAAGTTGGAGAAAATTGGTGCAGCAGCTTTGGTGGATGTGCGCTTACCCTAGACAGTCGAAAGATCTCCAGCTCCTTACGATATAGCGTCACTTTGAGCCGTCTGGTGAAGTGTCGGTTTTTCCTGCCGCCGCCGAAGCGTCTTGTTTATCTTCTAGAAGTACGTATGCGCACATATGTGCGTCTTGAGTCGATTGTGTCCTTTAATTTATCTTATCTATACTCTCCACGTGTGTTCAAGCAGTCATCGCAGTCTTCGAACAGGCAAGAAGTGGCGGGCTTCTTCAGATAACTTTCTTAGGTGCGTTGGACGCGCGCACGTATACTACAGAACGCGCGCTTTCACGTATAGGCTATCATAAACGTTCGCACGTAGCCGCATCAAAACTAATTGTCAGGTTCACGTGAAATACTCGCACTGTGAACATATGACGAGTGTGACATATGTATGTCTCGCACATGCACTTTGTGACGTCTGTAAGAATATATATATTTTTCCTTTACGGGATACGTGTCAGCATTGCAGGAAAGACTCCTCGAGGCAGTGCCATTAATATTTCTGCGATATTTGTGAAGGCATCATGTCAAATTGAACGCAGCTGTTTGTCTCGAAGGTGATCCGCCTGAAAAATAAAAAGAAAGTAAGCTGAAGAAAAAATGACAGATCCAACGTGCAGTGGGAATCGATGAAATGCGAATTGAGCATGACTGAGGAAGGTTGATATGTGTTACTTTAAAATCAGCACAATGTTAAAAGGCGGATGCAAATTATGGCGCCGTACATGGCTTTCATATATGTCATATGATTATCATGCTAGCTTGAGCCTGGCATTTGTGTTCGTTGTCCATTCACGTACTGCCAGATGTGGTACATGTGAAGCTGGCGAAACGGCCGCGAGTACGCTATGAGTGTAGCATGTCATGATTTACATGACACACATGTCATGATTATCATGTTTGAACGTGTCATTTATCTTCGTCGTTCATTCACGTAAGGTAACACCAAATTTGGTATATCTGGAGCTAGCTGCGAAACGGCCGCGAGCGCGCTATCAGCGTAGCGTGTACTCATGTTTTACACGACTACACGCTTCATGCATGTAATCATGCATGTTATGATTCATGTTTAGATGTGTTATTTATCTTCGTCGTCCGTTCGTGTCACGTAATACCTAATTTCGTATATGTGAATTAAGCTAGCGAAACGGCCACGAGCGCACCATATGAGCGTACGTGTAGTGATGACTTACATGATGCATGCTGATTTCCACGTTAGGGTCTGTCACATGTGTTCGCCATGCAGTCATGTCATACCATACCAGTTTTGCAATATGTCATGTGAACGAAACCACCGAGAGAACAGCAAGACCACGAAATGTAAATCATGATATTCATGACTTACATGTCATGATTTTCATGCTATTACTAGTCACTTATGCTACTCATAGTCGTGTTATGACATACCTATTTCGGTATAGATACCATTATCGAAACGGCCAGGAGAGCTAGAAGTCGTAGGCGGCCAAAATAGATAGCTAGATAGAAACGGTCAAAGTTGCCGAAGTTCGTTAAAAAATGCTTTGCATTTTAAAGAAATGAGAGATAAAGGGAGAGAAGTAGGAGTGGAAGAGAAAGAACCACTCGTCGTGAGGAGCGTGGCGAGGAGTAAGCGTTAGTGTGTCTTGTTGCAGCGGAAAGTGTGCGAATAGGTTTTGTTTTCTCACTCATTTCCTTCTTTTGATCGTTTTTTTCAGCGGACGGCCACGCTTGCGACCGCACTCATCGAAGCGCGGCAAAAAGATACCCTGAGGAAGCAGAGCATGGCCAACGCACGCGCCAGAGTTGACCGTACTTCTTCCCCGTATCTACGCATGCGCTCGTCGGCTTGGCAGTCGTCGGTCAGCTCGACCAGCTCAACACACGAACTTCGCATCTGCCCCGATCGTTATGGGTATCCAGGCCCTAGGCCTAGGAAATCAGCGTCTCAACGCCCGAAATTGCAGTATTTCTTCGACCGAAGAGTAACATATTGTTCACAGCAGTCAGCAAAGGTTCTACAAACATGGAGACTGAATCTCCGATGCAGGAAACCGTCTACGGAACGACCAACGAAGAAACGCACGATGTGATGTCCGAAAAGGTGCAGACGTTGGCTGGTAACATCTACCAGGAGTTTCAGCGTATGATCGAGAAGTATGACGAGGATGTGGTCAAAGACCTCATGCCACTGGTTGTGAACGTTCTGGAGAGTTTGGATTTGGCTTGCATGGAGAATCAAGAGCACGAAGTGGAACTGGAGCTGCTCCGTGAGGATAACGAACAGTTGGTGACTCAGTACGAGCGCGAAAAACAGCTGAGGAAAGCCGCCGAACAGGTGATGTTGTGTTCATGTCACTAGAAAGTATTAATTAGTGTCTAATGTCTCGACGTTGCTGTATTTAGGCAGGCAAAAGCGAAGCCCTGCCCGGAATCGAAAGGGCCAACTTCCGGTGTGGAGCGTTGTGAAAGGTTGGCGAAATATAGGTTCACGCACTCAATTCATTAGTGAGCCTGGCTCATCCTGGAGAACGATCGAACAACATACTGCTGTACTAGTTCACCATATTTTGGGTCATCGGTCACGGACTCGAAGCGTCGGCAGTCGTTGAACCTGGCGGATTTACCATCTTCATTTCCGTTGCTAATCAGGGCGCTTTCTCTGATGTCAGCTACAAAACTTAAAATTGCCAATAAAACGGAGTTGTCGTGCGAGTGTTGTGCTCACGGCAGGCTTTCATCGTCGCACGACATTGCGTAGTTTGCATGCGGTGGCCAGCCATATGTGTTGTGAAACTGCGACAGCGTGTGAGTGGCGTAATGGCCGTAAGCACACGGGCGCCGGCGGGGCGCGAGTCAGCTGTTCGACCACCCAAGGAATCTTGGAAGCCCTGTTGAGAGCGTGACCTAGTTTGTATTTGGTGCGTGCATGGTGCGTTACGATGTTATGCAACACCAGAATACAAGCAGTTTCTGTTCGCACTTTGGTTGTCAAGTGCCATTAAGCCAAAAAAGAAACTGCCTGTGAGAGAGAGAAAAAAAAAAAAAAGATGTCTCGTACTTGGGGACTTATCCCGCACCCGTTGAACTCCCAAAGGCCGATAAAACACGTCGTCTTGTTTCATTGAACTGCCTGTTCAATCTGGCCGCAATCGCCCACTTCCCGTTCCTGGGTGTATCCTATGCGTGGTTCGACCGTGTGGGTTTCACTTTCTTGCCCGATGCGGGATCTATCGCGTTCGTCGTTTTCTTACCCTTGGTTAAATGTCTCTTTGGCTGCCAGAATGCTGCCACCTGTGTCTTGCTCTGCACCTCACTGTTGTAGCTCTCCTGGTATTCATTTGTGTCCACTGGCTGGTCTGTATGTGTTATGCCTGTAATCGTTTTCGAAGCTTGACTTTGCATGCAAATAGCGAGAACTGCGGGGATATCGGTCGAGATCGTGTGGACATTTAAATGGCTTGCTATAGTGTCAGCTGTTCCGTGTAACTGTTAACTTTCGATTTTTGTATGTTGATGTTGCAGAAACTTTTGGAAGTCGAATACACTGTGGATGATGATCGCCGGGACCTTGAAGGAAAGGTTGAGGGGCTAGAGTCTGCTGTCCGCATACTAGAGCTCAAGTCGAAAAATTCGTCTGATCATGGTGTGTTTCACTTATCTTAGATCATAGCTGCTTGCATTGAAACTTAAGTCATTAATCTTTCTTTAACATTTTTCCAGCTTCAAGACTAGAAGAGAAAGAGTCTGAAATGAAAAAGGAGTATGCAAAACTACATGAAAGATACACTGAAGTGAGTAATCCTTGAAAAAAAAGAATGTATATATATATTTGTGTTGTTTCCTGGTTCCCTATGTGAATTCTTATTTATCTGCTTGTAGCTATTCAAGACACACATGGATTACATTGAAAGAACAAAAATATTGTTTGGCTCTGACAGAATGGAGATGGCAGGGGTGAAAGGAAGGTGAGTGTTCGTAAAAAAACTGGTTTTGAAGTTACATTAATCTTAAAGCTGACAGTAGAGGCTTTACCTGTTGTTTGTATCATTCACAGTTATGCTGGAAGGCCTGTTTGCAAAAAGCTTGTGCTAGGCTGACTTACCACCTATGTTCACAAACAAGCAAACACATTCAATCTCAGTGCTCGTCATTGAAATCGTCTTTGTTTGTCAACAGCACTGCATCCTTGTGATGACAATTGCCGCAGCAAAGTGCAGTTGCTAGAAAACACACCTGTGACACCCCTCAATGTAAAATTATAGCTCTGAAATCGTCAGGGAGGGTTGTTGAAGGCTGTGACTATTGCGGCCATAAGCTGTAAAAGAAGATGCAACACATTGTCATGTTGAGTGGCTGTGCTTGATCCCATTTGGCAGGTCCAGGCAAGAGTGTTGAAAAGGGCAATTATGCATTAAGACAGCAATCATCACGTCTAATGTGACATGTTTTCTTACCCTGCAGTGTCCGCTGTATCCTATTTAGTACCCTGAATTTAATGCCTCAAAAAAAGCTGATAAACCTGTCAAAGCATCATGGAAGAGCAGTTATTGCATATTTAGCATGTTATAAAGATGTTACTGAGTTTACAAATTTAATCATTGTGATTGATTATTTTTTAATTGAACGTAATTTACTTTTGCCTCAAATAAAATTTGTCCAATATTTCTCCTAAAATGAACTGTAATAGAAGAGTGAAAAAGGCGAATGTTTTCTCATATTTTTTCTCAAGGCATAACTGCTTTTGGGCATTACAGGCTTTTAATGATGAAAGCTTCATCAAGCTGCGATGTACAGTCAATTTAATATCTCGCATGAATCTCTGGGGTTGCGTTCTATGCTTGTGTCCTGGATGGTACTCTTGTTGTTGGCATGTTGAGCATGCAGTTTCAGGATTGACACTGTGGCAGATTCTAGTAGCTAAAGTACTCAACTACTGACCCGCAGGTCGCGGGATCGAATCCCGGCTGTGGCCACTGCAATTTCAATCGAGGTGAAAATGCTGTAGGCTTGTGTGCTCATGTTAAAAGACGGTAAAAAAACTCAGGTGGTCAAAATTTCCGGAGCTCTCCACTACGGCGTCTCTTATAATCGTATGGTGGTTTAGAGATGTTAAACCCCACATATGAATCATATCAATCGATCCAAACGTTTACACAAGTAATGCTGGAGTGTTGCTTACACTGCATTTTCTTTCCATGTGGCTGAGCAGCAAGATGGGAATGCACTTTGCACTCAGTAAATCTCCTGGCGGCCAAGCTTCCTTGGGTCTGTCGGGTGAAACCACTCCAGCTAAGACAATCCCTACATCGCCCGACTACCCAGATCTCATTTCACCTTCAAAGAGCAACGATTCCAATGCCAGCCTCAAAAGTGAAATACAGGTTAGTTTTTAAATCAAGCAAGGTGCAGAGTCTTTCATGGTTGTCTGGAAAGTTGTTCAAATTTTATTGCTCTGTTATTAACTGTTCTTGTCATGTTCAGACAGTGTGGTAGGTAGGCAGTGTAATCTTATGTATGAAGAGACTGTGGTTGTATGTTGTGCCTTGAATCACACTTAGAAGTGTGGCAGCTTGGGCTAGTTGGTATGGCATGACGATAGTTATAGCACGAGAACAAAACGACGACACAGAGACAAGAAGGACATGAAGGACACGAGCGCTAACTTCCCACTGAGATTATTGCGCAGATCACGAAAATATATAGAGGAGACAGTAACCATGTGATAAAAATCATATGGCACAAAAAGCAGAACATGAGTAAGAAAAAAACAGACAAAAAACACAAAAACAAAAGCACAGAAAAACGGCAAAGAAAAATCTATAAGAAAACGAAACAGAAAGGTAAAGATACTATAACTACCTGCGCGCACCGAAACCTTCGAGGAAACTGAGTTCCTTCTCAGACAGAGCCACGGAGGGCTTGCTAATACAAGGCACCTGTTCGCGTGCCATCTGCGCGGCCTCGACAATGACTCGGGTGCGCTCATCTCTGTGCTTGTACAGCGTCGCTGTGTCCTTGAAGAGGGGAACACAATTGCACTCAGTGCAGTGCTGAGCAAGAAAACCATCTTTACCGCTTCTAACATTGTTAGCGTGTTCTCCCAGCCGATCGTTCAGACACCTTCCGGTCGTTCCAACATAACAAGCACCACATGAAAGGGAGGTCCTATAGACAACTTCCCGGGAGCAGGCCGCATACCTGTTTCTATATTGAACTCTGCATTCCGTTGATGACTGCGTTTTCAGAGGGTTTGTAGATTTGGTGAGGCTGATTAGTTTGAACGGTGCCGAGAACAGGACACGAACTCCAACACGTTTTCCGATTTTCTTGAAACTGTGTGAGATCTGGTGTGTGTATGGAATCGCGGCTATCCTTTCACGTTCTGTATCTGTGTTGCTTGGATTCTGTCGCTGCCTCTGCTCTGCCTTATTAGTGCGCAGGATAGTCTCAGCAACGGAAGCGATAAACACCTCGGGCAAACCCGAAGCCTTAAGCCGGGTTTCCCCCGAAAGCACTTCTCATGCGAGACCCAATTAGCCGAGTTTACCCACGACCTACTAAATAGCATGGATGATAACCTGCAGATTGATGCCATATTCCTAGACTTTTCCAAAGCTTTTGATCGCGTACCACACAACTTATTACTTAGCAAAATTAATTCCCTTGGCATTGCACAGAATATTGTCTCCTGGGCTAAACACTTCCTCTCCAACCGTAAACAATTCACCTCTGCTAATAATCATAACTCCTCTAAAACTCACGTATCATCAGGCGTCCCTCAGGGTGCGGGCTTACCACCTCTTTTATTTTTAATATTCATAAACGACCTGTCAACAAACATTCAAACAAAACTTCGACTATTTGCAGATGACTGTGTCATATACTCCCCCATTCACAACTTTGAAAACAGTACTAAACTACAGCAAGACCTCGACACAGTTGCGTTATGGTGCCAAGACTCATCAATGCCGTTAAATCTAACCAAATGCAAATCGATGTCATTTTCCCGTAAACGCGCCACTGTTCATCATACCTACTTTATCAATTCGCTTCCTCTCGATTCGGCTTCGTCATACAAGTATCTCGGAGTGCACATGTACCCATCTTTTTCATTTGCACCGCACGTACAGTCCATCTGCTCAGACGCTCTGCGTACGCTTGGTTTTCTATGCCGTAACCTCAAATCAGCATCTCCTGACGTTAAAAAACTAGCATATTTAACATACGTACGGCCAAAGCTCGAATACGCCTCGTCCATTTGGAATCCATCCCAGGCATACCTCGTTAGCGAACTAGAAGCAGTTCAAAACCGCGCTGCCCGCTTTATAACCTCACAGTTCTCCAGAGAAATCAGCGTCACCGCCCTAAAACAATCAATTGAACTGCCATCACTCGCGTCGCGCCGCCTCATCTCGCGCCTATGCCTCCTCCACAGTTTCTTTTTCCGACCCCAATCAAGACACGAACTTTAACAGCACCCAAACAGAACTTCTTCCCGCATTAACCATTCCAACCCCATTGCACGAATCAACGGCCGTACATCCGCAATGAACGACTCCTTTTTCCCCCAAGCAATAACACTTTGGAATCGCCTTCCCGACACCATTGTTGCCACACCTGACCGCACATAATTCCGCGCAAATTGGAATCCCACTTTGATTCCACCCATTAACTCGTGGCTGTAAATATATTCTACCAACGTACTGTATGTATAATTTGCTTGTGCTTAGTTGTTTGTACTCTAATTCCCAGCCAAAGCGTTTCTTTTGTGTGTTATTTGATTCATTTTTGTTGTCATTTTTGACCAAACTATCATATTGGAACTGTACTGCTTATAATAATTTTTTCAACTTGAATTATACACACTCACAGCGTATTTTTGCCCCCCCCTTATGTAATGCCCTCGGGCCTTTAAGGATGCAATAAATGAAATGAAAATGAAACTTGAGCTTTGAAGCTCGCAGAGATATTGTGGGCGCACGACCTATTTAAGGCATTCTCAAGACAGGTTCGTGCTATGCCTCGCTTAACTAACTTGCTGTGAGCGGAAGAATGGGGAAGTAGAGGTTTCTGCGCACGTGGTTCATAACACCAACAGATGTGCTGTGAGCTAAAAACCAGTTTTAAATCCAAAAAGCGTAACTTGTCATTCTCGGGCATTTCATGTGTCAACACAAGAGGCTTTAAACAATCTTCGAACACACCTATCTTTTGAGTCGCAAACGAGTGGAACATAGAAGAATCACAATTTAGAAGAACCGAGAAATCATCCACGTATCTGAATACTTTGACAACATGCGAGCCTTCTAACTTTTCCTGCAGTTTTTTGCCCATTTTTGCCAATAGAAAATCACTGAGTAGAGGTGCTATGCATGAGCTGATTGAAACACCCTTTTTCTGCAGATAAATGCAATCATTCCATTGAACGAAAGTAGAGGTAAGGTACAGCAAAACCAGGTCAAGAAAATCTCGCGAACTGATGCCAGTTTTTAATTGGAAGTTCAATTCCCCGAAAATTTCTATGTTATCCCTTATACATTTTAATACTTCATCGTGAGGCAGAGAGTAGTATAGGTCCTTGATGTCAATTGAAAAACCGAAAAGATTAGATTGCTTTGACTGTTTGAAAAATTCTATCAGAGCCTGTGAGTTTTTGATCAAAAATGGGTCATCAATCTTTAGACACTTTAGATGCAAGTTAGTTAAGCGAGGCATAGCACAAACCTGTCTTGGGAATGCCTTAAATAGGTCGTGCGCCCACAATATCTCTGCGAGCTTCAAAGCTCAAGTTTCCCGGCTTAAGGCTTCAGGTTTCCCCGAGGTGTTTATCGCTTCCGTTGCTGAGACTATCCTGCGGACTAATAAAGCAGAGCAGAGGCAGCGACAGAATCCGAGCAACACTGATACAGAACGTGAAAGGATAGCCGTGATTCCATACCAACACCAGATCTCACACAGGCTCAAGAAAATCGGAAAACGTGTTGTAGTTCGTGTCTCGTTCTCGGCACTGTTCAAATTAATCAGCCTCACCAAATCTACAAACATCCTGAAAACGCAGTCATCAACGCAATGCAGAGTTCAACATAGAAACAGGTATGCGGCCTGCTCCCAGGAAGTTGTCTATAGGACCCCCCTTTCATGTGGTGCTTGTTATGTCGGAACGACCGGAAGATGTCTGAACGATCGGCTGAGAGAACACGCTAACAATGTAAGAAACGGGAAAGATGGTTTTCTTGCTCAGCACTGCACTGAGTGCAATTGTGTTCCCCTCTTCAAGGACATAGCGACGCTGTACAAGCACAGAGATGAGCGCACCCGAGTCATTGTCGAGGCTGCGCAGATGGCACGCGAACAGGTGCCTTGTATTAGCAAGCCCTCCGTGGCTCTGTCTGAGAAGGAACTCAGGTTCCTCGAAGATTTCGGTGCGTGCAGATAGTTATATTATCTTTACCTTTCTGTTTCGTTTTCTTATAGATTTTTCTTTGCCGTTTTTCTGTGCTTTTCTTTTTGTGTTTTTTGTCTTTGTTTTTCTATTACTCATGTTCTGCTCTTTGTGCCATATGGTTTTTATCACATGATTACTTTCTCCTCTATATATTTTCGTGATCTGCGCAATAATCTCAGTTGGAAGTTAGCGCTCGTGTCTTTCGTGTCCTTCTTGTCTCTGTGTCGTCATTTTGATCTCGCGCTATAACTATTGAGTCACACACCTTATAATATGAAAGAATTCTTTTTTTTAAGGGTGTAGCCATTTGTAAAGTTTTTGTAGGTAAACTAAAGGACCCATTAATTACCAATCAGATGGGCTTAGACAGTTTTCAATGTTCATAAAAATGGAAGCAGATGGGAAGCAACTAATATTTAGTATCTTTGAAGTTGCTGGAGTTATGAAGGGTGCTTACCAGCGCAAACGACAGGGCAGGAGGGGACAGGAAAAGAGACGAGACAGAGCGCTGAACTGCCAACAAAAGGTTTGTTGGCAGTTCAGCGCTCTGTCTCGTCTCTTCTCCTGTCCCCTCCTGCCCTGTCGTTTGCGCTAGTAAGCACCCTTCATGATGTTATACCAACACGCCCAATCCCACTGTCTCTTGAGTGCTGGAGTTACGTATACAAAGTACAAAAAGAGAGAAAGCAATTTGATGGCCAGAAAAACCGGCCATCGGTGGCCAGTCTTAACTATGGACCGACAGCTGGCTCACTGCCTACAAAAACCGGCCAGACTGGTCTAAAGCTGGGCAGGTGGCAATGCTATCTCCTTTATATATCTTTGCTTTATAGTTTCTAAGCTCATATTTGTAATAGTCACTGTGAAGGCGATGTCTCATTAGTGTGGCTGAGGCATGGTAGTATTAGCCAACTACCATGTTTAGCCCACACCTCTATCAATGTTGTCTGGTGAAGAGAAGAATATTAACGCGATAGCACCAAGGAGCTCGTTTCATAGAAATTCTGACGTCGTCGTCGGCGTTGACATGGGCATCATTGGTTGTGAGCGAAAAATCATCTTGTCTGTGATCCAAAAATAGAAAAAGATACAAATAAAATAACCGAAAAAATTTCCAGATCCGTGTCAGGATTGTACACAGGTCGTTTGAGTGGCAAACAGTTGTTCTACCACACAGTCGTGCTTTTATTTGGAAATACCATGACGATAACTTTCTCTGCTTGAAAATGGAGTGAAAATAAATTTCATGCTTTAGAAACACATGTGTCCTGTATGCAGGCTTCACCATACACCATGTACATTGTACTGCAGTAATAGTGTGTGGTACAAATGCAGGTTGCCGTTATGTGGATATCATAACAACATTGGGGTTCAAAGCCGCCCACTCATAACAAAAGTCACACATGTTATTACGCATATTCTCTTAAGACCATGTAGTAGGTGCATATCAAGTTCGAGACCAATTCATTTGTATGATTGCTCATGGTTTGGAGCATGCTACCAATTACACAAAGTGCAGCCACATGCGAAAGCTCCGCTGACCCTTGCTACTTCAAATTTACCAAATACATTGTAGTAATTCACAATTTAAAGTTCTCAACTAACATTGTACAATAAAAAGCACGCACCAAGTGGTTTGAAGCACGCACTAGGGACAGGATGTCGCTATCGTGTTCAACTCTTTTTAAAAGGGTCGTGCAACATTTTTTGAGCATGGTCAGAGAACGCTGCTGATCGGTAGTAGAGGCTCCCGACAACACGTGAGCCAAATATTATCGCAGCACCCAACCTGGCATTCACAATAAATTATCAAAGTCAGCTAAAGATTGCTTTCTGTTCTCTCGACAAATGACAAAAGATGCTCGAAAATCACTTGTAGAAAGTCTATCTATCAGCCATTGGCCGATTAGAACATGGTGCGATCGGTCGTTGCAATGATTGCCGCGGGAAACCGCGACTTGCCCATGCGTGCGTGTGCGATCACACTGAAAAAGCTGTACATCCGAGAGAAAAAAAAGAAATAAAAAGTGCTCAAGGTCACGAGGCGCGGGTGACGTCATTTTTTTTTTTTTTGCTCCTGCCATCCCTCTCTGCTTAGCTTCCAGTGTTTTCGTCAGGACGAGAGAAGAGAGAATGCAATTGCAGCATGCGACAAATTTTTGCAACTCCACTCGCACTGGACGGATTCTTAAAATTCCTAAGGCAATAAGCTCTTCCAGTGAATTCATTCCATGGTTACTTGAAAAAGTGTTTCAGGCCCCCTCTAAAGGTGAAGGTTAAGGGTCCCCCCCCCCCCCCCCATTTTTACAATGCTCTTGCTGGATATTTGAGATTACTTTGATAATAGTCAGGGTGGCCTCTTAGCAACAGTGTTCATGAGGATCAATGCTTTCGAACTTTTTTTCAATGCTTGCATTGTGACAATTCCAGTTGTAGGATTAGCCTCTACCCAATGAAAAGTCGTATGAGAGAGCTCAGCTAGTAGTCTGTTTATCAAATATGCTATGTTGGATAGGACTGAGCGTTTTAGAAAAAGTATATTAATTTTGATCTGCTTATCAGTTGCCTAAACTGTGCATTGTGGTTATAGCTATGTCATTGTAGCAAGACCTTTGCAGAAACTCTTTTCATAATTAACATGACAGTCACTTTCTTGTACTTTCGAGAAAGTTATGGATGCAGCTGGTGTTGCTTTGCAGCTTGTTGGCAGTGTCGATAAACAGTTAATGTTTTGCACCTATAATATGCAGATTTGTTTTGTTGCCATGTTTATGAGCAGATGCTCCTCTGTGCCTTGTTCATATGGTGGTTTTGAGACGTTAAACACCACATATCAATCAAGCTGTGCCTTGTTCTGTAGGAAGTTCACGTTGGTACAGTTCCTCCTGCTCCACAGGCAGCTCTTGCTGAACCTAAGGTTGGCCAGGTGCAAAGTAAGTTGTCCATGATTTGTTCTTTGTGGCGAGCTTGTGGTTATGTAATGGGTGTATCATTGTGCCCGTAAGCTGCCTCCCTTGTATTCTTTTATTAATTACTTTTTGCATTATAAGTATTTCTTATTTATAAGTATCTAAATTTGTTTGGTGCCATTTTGTTTGCAGTTGTCAAATTGTTCTTCTGTTCAGGTTAATTACACTCCCTGGAAGATCATTTTGCTTCCTTTGTATATTGACATGCCCCCTTGCCAGGCACAGGTTAGCCCAGACAGACAATGAACTTTATTTGATCCTGAGGAGCTTTCGCGGGAACCCCTATCGGGGACCCGCGGAAGCCGCTGGCCGCGTCCAAGTAGGGGCTGGGACACCGTGATGTTCCGCCCTTTCTTGGGCCCTCTGGATTGCCTGGATTTGTGCTTGAAGCCATGGGTTTCGGAGTGCTTCTTCCCAGTCGGCTTCGCTGGATAGAGGGCCATTAGGTAACGCGGGGCATTGCCAAAGCATGTGCGCTAAGGAACAATAAATTTCATTACATTCCGGACAACTTTAGTCAACGTCTGTGGAGATACGACTAAGAAGGCCCCGCGAGGGGAACGAGCCCGTCTGGAGCATTCTAAGTGTAATTGACTGAGACCTATCTAACTTTGGGTGAGGAAGAGGATAGGCTCTTCTACTTAGCCGATAGTGAGATGTGATTTCATTAAACGTAAGGAGTGGATCGTTATGCTGGATTTCATCCTGACCCCATAAGGCCTCCATGCCGCCGCGGCGCATTAGATCTCGCGCACGGTCATGGGCAAGCTCGTTGAGGTTAGGTACGTGCTGATGAACGTCCGCACCCATATGGGCGGGAAACCAAGAGATTAAGTGAGTGCCAGGGTCTGTTCTTTTTTCTAGAATGGAGGCAGCCTCCCGCGCTACGTTACCCGACTCAAAAGCTTTGATGGCCGCTCGTGAGTCTGTTAACACGGTGGTGTGTGAGCGTTCGGTCATGGCCAGGGCTATGGCGACCTGTTCTTAGGTTAGCCCAATTAAGGAGTTTCTCTTTGAACACACAGACTGCTGCCTTTGTCGACGTCAAGACCACGTGACAATATTATGTGTGAACCTCTGCAGTATGGTTAAGAGTAGTGCCAATGGGGTTACAGTTTGGAATCATATGCTGGAATCGCAAACAAGTTGCTTGCTGCCTGGAGAGCCTTCGAGCGCTCTATACCAGAGGGTGTGCACGTTTTACTTTTCAAAATTTGTACAATGAAAGATTTATAAATGCATGTTCTGTTGCAACATTCATCTTTTGCTGTGTTTACTGCAAGGAAATATCAACAAAGATTGTGAAAGTTATTCAGAGTGCATCTTTCGTTTGTCTGTTTTCCTTCTTTAGAAAGTGGTTGGGTGGATGGTTTTAGCACAGACATGTCCATGTCGGAAACAACATCACTCACTCCTGAAGTGGAAGACATTGAGGACATTACTCATGATGATGAAGTTGGTGTTGACAAAACAACAGTGCACAGGTAAAGTTTATGTACAAGTTTGCGTGAAAGAGACAGGTGTAAAACCTTTCTTGGTTGTACCTCGCAACATCTTTGCTCTGGGTGCTACTAGTAAAGTATGTCAATTTTAAAGGGGCACTAGAAAGAAAATGTCTTGGTTTAGATTGATTAACTTCTCTCTGAGAACTTGAATGCCATATGTCTCACTATCATAAGTTCATTATTAGCGGAGAAAATCAAGGTTGAAGCTTCATTATTAAATTTCATGCTGAAATGTCCATGCGGGACATTAAAAAATTCAAAATTAATTTTTTTTTATTTTTGCAACATTGGCTTGATGAAATTTTCTTCAAACTTCATATACTTGGGTCTATGGCAGCCACAGATGACAATCTGCTTCATTTTTATTGATCAAAAACTACGTAGAACCCAGTAGACACCTTCAAAACCTATGACATTACGACATTTGGTGCGGGCATCTCAAGGTGTTGTCTTTACCTGCATTTCCTTTTTGCATATTTTGCCGCTCACCAGAGTGGCATTTCCGGGATTGTGAAATTGTACTTTACTAATATGTAAAAATGGTTTTGTTTTTTAGTGTTTCTTTAAAGGTGCTACCTCATAAAATGGTATTTTCGTCACAATATAGAAAAAGGTGGCATTCAAATTGGATCAGGAAAGCTTAACAAAAAAATGAATACTAAAGCTCTTCAGATTATCTGCGGAGTACAGGATATATATTGGTGTTTTTGATAGAATCATGTGTTTGTAACATCCGAGTTTCAGCAGTGGAAGCGCTATGCTAAATATTTCTTGGCATTATGATTAGAGGCCTGTGCAATTGTACAATGTTTGTAAGGTGTATTGAAAGAGGCCAGCCTGGCCGCGGTAAGTCAAGGGGACAAAGAACGTCACATGAAGGGCTTCATACGGTAGACATGGACAGCCTCAGTTGTTCAATAAAGAGAGTCTGCTGAGGCTACAAGGGGCGTCATGCGATAGTTTACTGGTGAAGTCTCTTCGAGAACTGTGTACGGTCCTATAAACCGTGGCTGAAATTTGTCGCACAAACCAGGTGGGCGAAAAGGCATCAAGAGGAGCACTTTGTCTCCAGGTCGAAAGGATACAACACGATGTTATTCTTCGTAAACTGGCTTCCTCTCTTGCTGTGTGGCTTCAGTATTCATACGAGCACGTTGGCGACACTGGGCTAGTCGTGAAATGTACTACTCAGAAGCGAATGGAGATGGATTAATGTTGCATTGCTGGTAAAAAAAAATAAACGTCCAGAAAGTAAGTAGGGGAGCTTCCGTAAACTAGGTAAAACGGGGGGTAGCCACATGTCCGCTGAATAGCCGTATTGTAGGTGAAAGATTTGTATGGTAGAAATACGTCCCAGTTACAGTGGTCTGGTTGAATACAGGCGGCGATCATGTCAGCGAGAGGGCGGTGAAATCGCTCAGTCAAGTCGTTAGTCTGGGATAGATAACTAGAGGTGGTCCTGTGAGTTGTGCCGGAAGGGGGCGGGGGGGACCCATAGCAACAGATGCCGTCGCGGCGTAGCGCGTTCAATGATCAACAACTGTCACTATCCACCGGTTTCCAGCAGCACTGATGGGAAGGAGGCCATACAAATTGATGCCTACAACTTCAAATGGTGTTGCTGGGCATGGAAGAGGCTGCAGTGCACGAGCAGCAGCAGATGTGGGTAGTTTTCTGCATTGGCAGATAGTACAGGAGCTGACATATCTAGCTACACTAGGGGTAATGCCAGTCCAATAAAACTGACTTCGAAGGCGATCGTAGGTTTCATGGTAACCAAGGTGACCAGCAGCTGGATCGTCATGAAGTGCTCTGATGACGTGTAACTGAAGAGATTGGGGTAGAACGGAAAACCAGCTCTGATCGTCAGGATGGTAAATCGGGCAGTACAGTATTGAGTTGTATATCTTAAATTGCAAGAGTTGGCGATGGAGCTTCGCATTATGTGGATGGGAATCGCTTGTGAGGTAGCCTATAATACTCTGACAGTACGAGTCAGCCATATGGCAAGAAAGAAAATCTTGCTCGTCGTTCGAAGGCAGCTGGCCTATAGAGGCCAGAGAGGGAACCGCTTTTAATGTGGACCTCGAGTGTGTGTTGTGCAAAGTGATTGTGGAAACTCTGAGAGGGGCCGCCAGTAGTGATCAGCGAGAAAGAGCGTTGGCGTCGCTATGCTTTTTGCCACACTTGTAGATTATGTCAAAGTCATACTCTTGAAGGCGTAGAATCCAGCGGCCGGGGCGTCCCGACAAGTTCTTCAGTGTCGAAAGCCAACAAAAAGCGGGGTGGTCAGTGACGATGGTAAAATGGTTGCTGTGTAGATAGAAACCAAACTTCTGCTCTGACCAAATGACGGCAAGGCACTCCCGCTTGGTGATCAGTAGTTCCTCTCAGCTGCCAAGAGGACACGGCTGCCGTGTGCAATCACTCGCTTCCGCGAAGAGTTGTCGCGTTGCAAGAGCACGGCTCTTAATTCGCGGCCTCTGGTGTCTGTGTGCAGAAGGTTCGGAGTGTCATCAACAAAGTGGAAAAGTACAGGGTCGGTCGTGAGGGCACTCTTCAGCATGTCGAAAGCGAATTCACATTCCTGAGACCACTCAAAGGGCATACCAGAAGCAAGTAGCTTATGGATTGGTGCAGCTACAGAGGCAAAGTTTCGTATGAATTGCCGAAATTAAGAGGTGAGAGCACGGAAACATCGCAAGTCTTTTGGCTTATCAGGGTGAGGGAAGCGAAGCACCACAGCAGTTTTCTGAGAGTCAGGATGAATTTTATCCTTACTCACGACATGACTGAGGACCTTAATAGATCTGCTGGCAAAATGACACTTCTTGGTGTCGATTTGAAGACCAGCGCCCGCAAGACAAGATAGGACTTAGTCCAATCATTGCAGATGTCAAGGAAACGTCGATGAAAAGACAACAATGTCATCGAGGTGACATAGGCAAGACTTCTATTTCAGGCTACGCAGAACGGTGTCAATCATGCGCTCAAAAGTTGCGGGCGCATTGCATATACCGAAAGGGATAACACTGAATTTATATAGGCCATCCAGGTTTGCAAATGACATTTCGATGCGAAATCGTACAGAACCATCTTGCTTATGTACAAGAACAATGGGAGAGAACAAAGGACTTGTTGAGGTTTGAATTATTTCCTGTCGCAGCATGTCGTCTATGCTTTCTTGAATTATTTTCCTCCGTTCTGCTAGAGACACACAATACAAGCGGCGGTGCACAATAAATCTTTCGTCGGTTTTAATACGATGTGCTGCAGCGGTAGTCAAAGGTCGATGAATACGCGTCAAAAGAGTTTGTGTGCTTTTAAAACAAAGCAAGCAGTGCTGCTTCTGCGAGTCTCTGAAATCTATGCTGATGGCTGCTGTAAAGCCGAGAAAGCAGCATGATCAGCAGAATGGTCGTTAGTGGAGACAGGGTTAAGAGGCACGACGCACACAAGCTCCAGATCGGCAACACAGGCCACAGTGGTGCCCCGCGAAAGTAAAATTTTAGCTGGCGTGGCACTCGTAGCACCCACGACAGCTGATTCATTGTGGAAGCGAGCCACGCTTGGTGCGAGAGCTATGCCTTTACTAAGGCAACTGGGTGTCAGGGTGACCAAAATGTCACCAGACTCAACATTGTTAGGCCAAACCGTTATTAATTGCTGTTTTGATGGTGGTAGCTCGACGTCTGCAGCAGCCATAAGTCGAAGTGGCCTGTAGATTTAATCGTTGAGCAAGTGGTCTGTGTTGGTAAAATGTACTGTGGGCTGTGCGTGTTTGATGCCTGGGTGTGTGTGTGTGAGTGATTGTGTCGTGTGTTTGCGCATGAATTAAATTTTAGAAGTATTGTTGTCCACAACAAATAGCCGTGTCCAAAACAAATAGCCGTGGTAGCAGAAGCAAGGCAGCCGGAGCCTGAAATGAGTTGGTTAGAGCATGGGGATAGTACAGCGAACTCTATATGGTGAAAAATGTTGTTGATTAGCACACAGGCAGTGCAGAGAGCGGAAGGGGGAATTGCAGTTTTCTGGGCTATAACCAGCGTAGGTCCATTGTAAGGCGTCGTGACTTTTCTAAGACGGGCACACAAATCAGCACGAATAACAGAATACGTAGCCCCAGTGTCTACCAAAACATAAATGTGCACTCCCTCAAATGTGACCGAAATCATATTGTGAGGGCACACTGGAGGAATTTCAGTCCTGTGTTGAAATGCAGTTTTTCTTGCGAAAACTGCATCACTTAGTTTTCCGGACGATGGTCAGAGGAGAGGGAGGCAGGCTGAAGCGGAGACGAGGAGATGGTAGGGCAATGGTGAACAGCGTCTTGTTGACCGATGACTATTGTGAATCTCACGCGATGTGGGCAGAGATGGAGGCTGACGAGGAGGTGAGGAATAATGGCCCTGGTAAAAGGCTTCTCCGGTAAACTCCTGTTCGCGCATGTCGTACTCTCGACGCTCGTCTTGCTGGTTCTTGCGGCAAAAGCGCGAGATGTGTCCGCGATAGCCACAATAATAGCATGTAGGGTGAGTCGATCGCCAAGGAGGGTAGTAGCTGTCATTAGCCGTACCAGGAGAGAGAGCGGACAGATGGCCAGATGAGGGCTCAGGCGGCGATGATGGAAAGCTCATGGGAGAAGTGGCAGCAATCCCTGCGTACGTTAGTGGTGGCAATCTCAAGTTGACAATGCGTAATGGCGTGGCGGCGCCATGTTCGTGCTGTGACATATTTCCGGACACTGGAGCCAGCGCCGACCTGAATGAAGCTCCAAGAGGTAGGAGTGGTCGAGATGACGACGCAGGATCGAAGAGTAACTTTCACCACGTATGAGGTCTTGGTTTGGTTGATGATGATTGTTATGTGGGGTTTAACGTCCCAACACCATTATATGATTATCAGAGATGCCGTAATGGAGGGAGAGGTCTTGTTTGGATGACCTTTATTTGGCGCAAGGAGTCGGCAGCCGACAGCTACAATGACCCAAGAATGAAGATGCTTATATGTGACAACGATGATGATGCATGGCCAACACATGGTAGTGATAATAATAATGTACAGATGAAGGGGATGGGTATACTAAGTGCCCACAGTACGTACTTTCCTTGCAAAGTAATCTTGCAGTTGAAAAATAGGGACCTTAGCAAACACTAAAAAGTATGTCAGTTATTGATTACTGTGAATTACTGATAGTATTTGGCTCATGCATTCTTGTTGTAGAGGTTTGTTGGCATTCTGTTCTATGTTCAAGTATTGTTATTCAAGTATTAAAGAATTCACTCATTATTTTCAAAAATGTATTCTGTTTGATGATGATTTGCCATCCAAAATTGTGGCATTTGCCTGCATCTCCACAACTGAGGCCAAGAGTTTTTTTTCTGGCTATATCTGTCTATATCTGGTGGATTAGCTTTTCTTTTGCAAGTTGTTAACTCCACATGTATGCGAGCTTGTCATGCTGTTCTCCTTAAACCGTATCATAGGCTTTGATGTTGGGTATCTGTGCCATTATGATATGGTCAAGGCATTATGAAAAAGCCTTGTTGAAATATGAGGCAGCTTCCCACAAGTACCATTCATCTAATTTAAATGTACTTGATGAGGGCAACAAAGCTTGTCTTGCTTTGTTAGTAGAAACCAGTAGTAAAGTATGGACAGCAGTGACCATACAAATACTCAGCAATCAACTGTAAAAGGCATCTGCAGCGTTTGCTTAATTCTCTACTGACGCTGTTTTACATACAGCACGTAGAGTCCACAATCATTGTTATAATTTTTGCCAAAGGTTTTAGTCGCACTGACTTGTTACGTCTATCCTTTTGCTAATGTGAATGACAAAGCATTGAAATTGTCGCTGCATCAGCTTATATATATTCATTTTTTAGGAAATTTGTTGCGTGAGTGCCTTACAAAGACACATGCGCCTAGAGATGCCAACATTACTTAGATAATGCAAGCATATAATTGTATTTGGTAATGTTGGGGGTAACTATCAGGAAATGATGTTTTAGCAAAAGTCATAGATGCCAGTAATGTTTGTAATGCTTACATACCTTAGCATGACTTAGCTTATTGTCTGAAGTCTTATTGTGTTATGCTCATCACACTGGGTACTTTGTTTGCTTTAAAAACAGGTATCGATTCGAATGCTCTTATTTTTTGACATTTCAGAGAACAGCGCAGGTCAAACATGCTTTTATTATGTTATGCTCATCACACCGGGTACTTTGTTCGCTTTAAAAACAGGTATCGATTCGAATGGTCTTATTTTTTGACATTTCAGAGAACAGCGCAGGCCAAATACGCTTTACCAAGAACTAAGTTTTCATGATGAAAACATGGCTGAAGGCGAAGAAGGCTCAGATGTTACAGGTGAGTTGTGAGGTCGACTGTGCAGCCAAAGGGGCACCAGAAACATTTTTTGCTTGTTCTTCAGTTTCCCAAACTACCCTTGCATTAACTTCCCGTTTTTCAAAGGTGACTGTAGCTTGTAGCTCAATCAAAGCCACAGGATATTTTCAGTCTGATCTTTTATTAGGGACTTCAAATTGGGAGTTACACTCATTGTGTTACATCAGTGTTCTCAAGAAACTTGTGATGCTGCTGGAGGCGGAAATGTTGTAGGCCCGTGTGCTCAGATTTGGGTGCACGTTAAAGAACCCCAGGTGGTCTAAATTTCCGGAGCCCTCCACTACGGCGTCTCTCATAATCATATAGTGGTTTTGGGACGTTAAACCCCACATATCAATCAAACTTGTGATGCTGAATTTGTGGTGTGAATGGTTGGATGATGCTCCAGCCGAAACACAGCAAAACTTCAAAAATCCGTTTCAGGGTCCCTTTCATGCCAATATTTTGCACAGGGCTTTATGATATCGTACCTTCACATTGACTTCTCAATGGTCCCAGTCCAGTAAAGACATTTTTACTGAGAGAGATGATTAAGATGACATTGCGAGGCTTCTCGTGAACGAGATTGTGGGGGAGAAGTAGAAGTCTAGGCATCCCCCCTCCTAATTTGTAACTCATGCCTGTAGCCTGTAATTAATAAATATTGAGGCGGCGCATGTGCATTGAAGTCCACATAGGGCTGATAATATTGAAGTCCACATAGGGCTAAAGTTGTGTATATAGAACCATAGGTTGCCAACAAACGTGGAGCTCACATACTCAAGAAATACATATTGCACTTGGGTCTTACTCGGACTGAGACTGGCCAAAATCTTCCTGTATTGCACGCACTTGGACTCAGACTCACTACTAAAAGTTTTTTCACTTGGATTTGCTGAGACTCAAACTCATAATTAAATCTGAGTCTGAGTGAGTCAACTCATGTATGAGTTTACCGACCTTTGCTCATCGGCTAGTGTGTTTGCTAAGTATTCCTGTGTGACAGCATACAAATGGCACTTGCTCATAGTGTGCGTAAGCTTGCCCCATGTGACAAGGGTCCTGCTTTTGGGGGCAGGAAATATTGTTATTTCCCTTTTGTAAGGAAGTACTCGAAGAAAAAAGACCTTGTTTACGACAAGTCAGACAGTGTGTTATTTCTTTCTTGTGTCACATGTAAACAATAACATTACTTACTGACAATGCTTCTGCTTGTGTGAAAAAATGCTGCCCTCTAAGGAAACTATGTTCACCCCGGAGAGTATGCATCATCAGGTTAGTCTTGTCAAGCGAATGTATTACATTCAGGCATGATTGTGGCATGTCTGATAAGGCCTTGGCATTCTCCTGAAGTGCGCTTTTCTCTGTGTTGACTGCTGCATTGCTCTTGCAGCTCAGTTTCTCAGATGGGCATTTGCTGGCGGGGCACAAATATTGAGTATCTTGTGTCTGTAGGTGTAATGGCTACACTGCAGAATTAAGGGAATTAGGCTTTGGTGTGGAATAAGGCTGCAATATATACAATTATTTCTCAACAGAAGTGCAGAATTCTTTCTTCCTTGCTATAACCCTTAGTGGCTGCACTAATGCCTAATGCATGTCGCTGCAATATAACTAAATGCTTTTCTGCCCTAAGTTTGATCTGTTGAAGCGTTCATGTTCTTATCAAACAATCATGATTGGATGCAGACTTTTTAAAAGCTTTTTCGATAGAGCAATCTTGCATTTTTACCTTACAGTGCAAATGCAATTTCGATTCCTTACCACATGCCATAATAAAAAAGAAAAGTACGAACATTAACCAGAAAACATGTTTTCTAATGTATTGTGCCGTTTGTTTAATTAGTTGTTTAGCTTGAGACATTTCTGCTACAATGAGGTGGTATATTACTATATTTGTAGTAAATGAACGAATAATCTTAATCCACTTTATGCGCAGACCCAGAACGGTGGTCTAGTGGCTAAGGTACTCGGCTGCTGACTCGCAGGTCGCGGGATCGAATCCCGGCCACAGCGGCTGCATTTTCGGTGGAGGCGAAAATGCTGTAGGCCCATGTTCTCTAATTTGGGTGCATGTTAGATGTTAGAGAACCCCCAGGTGGCCGAAATATCCGGAGGCCTCCACTATGGCATCTCTCATATTCATACAGTGGTTCTGTGTTGCTGAACTCCAACAATTATTACTTTACTCACAGTTCTGATAATGGTGACCAGACTAGCCATAGCTGGCCTGCACTTGCAGAAAATTCAGTGACTAAAGCTTGGCTGAACTTGGGGACATGCTTTGTGTGAGATGGGCATGATAACAGCATCTGTTCACTTCTGAGAAACTGAACTGAACATGCTCCTTAGCATTGGCTGTATGCTGCATGAATGTATGGGCTGTTTCTTGGACTTGGTTTCATGCAGCGCTTGCTTTACTCTGCATGTTTTTTTTTCGATTGAGTGCATGGTATTCCTACCTCTCATTTTTCTCTTCCTTGTTTCTGCTTTTTTTTAAAAATCTTTTCCTTTCTTCTCAGACAGTGATGCAGAAAGTGAGCCAGATAATCACGGTGGCAAAAATGGTAGGCCTCTGTGGCATTTTTGTTCATCCTATTTTTCCCCACCATGCTTAGTATGTTGTACATAGTTGCTGGTTCTGGCTGTTACCTTTTACTACCAGGTGTTTGTCCTCATATTACTTACCTGCCTGCTTGAATGCATATGTGAAAGGCGTATCACGTACAGTAGGCTGTAGTGTTCGGTATTTTTCGGCATTCTTCTAGTTGTCAGAGTTTTAATATTGCAAAGCTCAAGCACCATTTCACAAAGAAAATTAAAATAAACTTTTATCTTTCTGGCCATGGAGAGTGTGCTTATGCCATAAAGTAGTAAATTGATCTTTATTATAGTATTTAATTAACATAGTAGATATTTATTTAGTAGATGGTTTTCTAATCTATCTGTCTTTTTATTTAAGGGGGGATGTGGCAATGTAAACTATCTTTATTATTTATGGAGATAACTTGATCAAATTTGGCATGCAGACTTGATTTTTTCTGCTGATGTCATAAATGAAATTGGTGTTCAGCGATCTGTTGCAACTTTTGAGTTATGGCACTTCGATAGATCCTCATTATCTCTAAATTGATTGATTAATTATACATAATTTTGTCAAGATTTTTGTGCAAAAATATTCAAAGGGCTCATTGTGTGCCATAAAGCTATTGGATTAGTTTCAATATTTGAATAAGCTCACAATAATTTTTTATACGTCCTCTACATGTTGTCTCCTTAACAACTTCTACCTAAGAGCCAATTGTAAAAATCTGTATGGCATTCAGGCAAATATAGACTGCTTTACAGCACTCAGTAATGTCTCTGGATTTAAGGGCAGAAAAAGGAACATTTATATTTTCTTATGTTGTCAAATGACACCGGGGTTACTGATAGAAAGTCAAGAAAATGGAAGTCCAAGACGATACAGCTTAAAGCTAAAAAACTGAACTCGAAAGAAAGCTGGCGGGATTTCTCATTGGAGAAATGGAGCTTTGTGGCAATCTTGAGCTCCAATTCATCCTATTTACGATGATGCCGATATGGTGGCACTCTGCCTAGAGAAAGCTTTTAGCTGGAGAGGGGGGGGGGGGGGGGGGGTGTTTTACTGAGGAAAAATGATGATCGCAGCAACCGATTGCAGCAAAAAAATGCCAGGCCACAATTTTTGTGTCTGTATCCCTATACTACAGCTTCATCCAGAAAGAATGCCAAATTGGCTTATTCAGATTTGAAAATGTGTCACGCAACACCCATTAAATTTATGTAAATGTGTGTCATAAAATGCTGTGGAGATTCCTACGCTAAAATGAGGACTTTGTTATATTAAGCTCAGCATAGAAGAAGAAAAAAAAGACACATTGGTTGTCATCCTCCTGCCAACCTGTGCTGAATTTGCTGAAACATTTTGGCATGCTTTAATGACATTTAGAGTATTTTGTAATATTCCAATGATGTACATACAAGTGACAGTACTGGAAACATTTTGTGCATTAAGTTCACTGACCTGCACTTTTTCTAAGGGCCATATCATGTAATGAAAAATCATACCTTTGTTTTGAAAGTCTGTTACTAGTAAGCAAAATTTGGTCCTGTAGCTAATGTTTTCTGAAAAATTAAGGCGAATGTTTGTTTGAAACATCAGTGCAAGAAATATTTTGCGAGCCGGGCAACTGAAAACAGGATAACGAGTTGTTTCAAGATTGGTGAAGCTTGAAAAAGTTTCATTTATGAATATGAATCGTGTATAATACTGTTTATTTTTGCCTTTTTTTGTCCCCCTAATGACTTGCCTGAGGGCTTTTCCCCGTAAAGTGACCGATATGCAAGCACACCCATATCTTTGACAGAAATGTGCTAGAGTACACCTTACTGAATTGGGCTATTTAGGTGCTAGTTGCAGAAATGTAGACAGATGTTGGGTGAGCCCAACATGATTGTTGTAGAAAATAGGCAGATATGAGTAGTTGGTGGGGTTCTGTGATAAAAACACAAAACAGCGCTTAGACACAAGACGAAGGAAGAAAGTGACTCACAGCGCTGACTCGCAACTGGTTTATTGAAAAAGAGCATGTATGTTTCTTAAAGGCGAGTGCGCATGCTAATTGACAAAAATATCAAAGGTGATATGCTTGTCAAGCCGTATGGAACAGCCTTGTGTGAGCTTCCTAATCACCCCTGATTAATAGGCACATTTCTTTTGGTGATAATGCCAGGGAAGGTTGGCTAACACAATCACTCGTTTTTCAAGTGATGTGGGATGCCTTTGTCTAAGCGCTGTTTTATATTTTTATTGTAGTGGTGATATTGTTTGTTTCATTACACCTTCATTTTGCCCCCTTCTAAACATAGTACATCAGTGTTGATTACCATATGGCACAGCAAATAGAAGCTCTGTGCTGTGACTGCACCAGATATCTCCCTATCAGTGCTGCATTTTCTTTGCTCCTTTAGTAGCAGTTTTATGTGGCATGCTTCTTTAGTGTTTTTATGGCATGCTGATTAGCAATGGAGTACTGCTTTTAGCTTGTGTCATATGTTTGGCTTATGCACTTTTGCTTGAAAGCATTCTTCTTTTTGTGTGGTATATTCCCATGAAAGGATTCATTCCTTAAGTGTTTCATAAATAATAGCTGTTTTTGCTATGCCCATTGTAAGGTGCACAGTGTTGTTGTGTAACAGTTAAGTAACAAACTTGTTTCCTCGTTTCTTGCACGTCCTTACTGACAGTTACTGACAACATATTCGGTAAGCATGACCCATCCGTTTTTCTTAACAGTCATTTGTCATTTGGCATGAATGTAAATGCTGTAAATGTAGAGGCTTGATTCCAAATCTCTCACCATAAGCTGTTGTTTTAACTTGATGTGAGCAGTTATAGTATTTGTAATTTATTTAATAATCTATGGGCCATTAAGGATCAATAAGTGATATGAAATTTAAAAGCGACACTATTCTAATATAGTAACAAATATATGTTAGAACACATTCTCGAAGTATATTCCTAAGCTACCTGTTCAAGCAGTTTTTGTCTTCTGAGTGTTGCTTCATGCTTGCCTTTTCTTTTAAAGCCCCTCATAACAGTAAGCATGTTTCTAAAGCCAAGCTTTACACTGTTTTACAGTGGGTGCTACACAGAACTGGAAAGCTTTGCAACTTTGATGCTTAGTCCTGATTGCTTATGCTTTATGTGATCGCAGCATGTAGAAGCTGCTTCGTCCTCAATACAAAGTGCCTGTCTGCATTTAATAGGGCAAGCAATTTTTTCTAGCAATATTGGTTAGCTAAAAGCTTCTGAATTATTTAATGTAACCACGATGGTTTATTTGTAAAAACAGGGTCTTTTACTTCAGTTACTTGACAAGCAAAAAAGATAATGATTAAATAAACATTGCAGGATTTATCTCTTATAGCTATTGCTTCTGTGTTTGACTTTTATCCAATAATATTAATTTTCAAAGATCATTTTCAATAACAAATGCTTATTTTTGCAGGCATGGGAAAAGAGGTTGAAAACATCATCATGGAGAACATTGAGCTCCTTGCCACGAAGTAAGTGTTTCCTGTAGACGTTTCATGGTTGCATCTGCTATCTGGGAGTAGCTGCATGTTTGCCGAGTTCATGGAAGGGTGTTGGCTGCTCATTAGAGGCATCATCATCATCATACCAGTAGTTTTTGTGTACAGTGGTGCATAGGGAAATGGATGCCAAGGGCAGCTCAAAGAGAAGTTATCAGGGACTAACAAATTATTTGTTCCACGATTTATGCCCACTGCATGCCCATATTAACACCTAGTTGTTTCTGCTTCTAGGAATGCGCTAAACATTGTTAAAGACGACCTAATCGCCAGGGTTGACCTTCTTACCAGGTGAGTTGGATGCCAAAGCTACTGCTTCTGCTGCTCTTGCTACCTTTTTTTACCTGTCTTTTTTTTTCTTTGTGTGAGCTCTCATATCTCCCTGTAGGAAACGATACTGATTTGAGCATTCGGACAGTAACATTTCAGCAGTAGAAGACTTATGTCTGCTGAATGTAAATAACACAGGTCACTTCATTCCTAGGGACCTTGTAAATTTTTAAACACATCTTGCTTTTCATGGTTATCAGGAATGAAGGAAGTGACAAAAAGTTCTGGATGTAATTGACACACTTTTGTGGAGCCGTTGTAGCAGGGACCTCCATTTGATGAGTGTTTTAAACTTAATTCTGACAGCAAATAAGACTTTGTCACAATCATACTAGCAAGAAGGCTTGCATCAGTGTTTAGCATTCTTCAGTTGGCTGTAGCTTCATAGATACATTTTATGATTTTTTATGGTTCATTTAACTCTGCTTTTAAATTATAACAAATTGAGCTTGTTCATGGTGTAAAATGATTCATGTTCACTATGTCTCTACTTGCAATAGACTCTTGAAATGTGTGCAGTCAAACCCATTTATGTGTTGAAAGTAGCTCCTGCAGTGTGCTTGAGCAGCCACTCCGAATAGTGGGTCTTTTTTATTTTCACATTTGTATGTGAAATTCTAGAAGCTTTTGAAACATTTGATGAAATATAATGCACTGTGTAATTGTTAGATGCCAAAGGTCTGGCTGCTGCTGTTTTGAATTACAAGCGGATGCAAAAACACTTATTAGACAGCGGAGGGGCACTTTTGGTTTCACCCATGAAAAATCTGCATGCTAATACAGGGCTCACGATTACACCTTGGTAGCTTCACCTGTACCTCCCATAAACTGCATGTGCGGTGGTAAGACCAGGGGCTCTGTTTTCTGTCCATTTTCCCTGCCATTGACTGCTTGGGTGCTGGCTTATCAAGGTCATTTCAAAGGCTCTTGTATAAATTATCACTTTTTTTTTCAAGCTGGAAGCTATTGGCAGCTGCCGCAAGATAGGAAATGTTTGCGTGTGTAATCATCTTATTACCTTTTTCATACAAAAGATCGGGCTTGTGCATTATTTGGGTGTAATTATAGCTAATAACATTTAATAATGGCCAGTGCACCATTACTGTGACCTCCATCATGGCTGCACAGTCTGACAGTAAAGGGCCAATAAACAACCTCGAGGTCCGAAAATTGTTATGTGGAAAAATATGCGCACTTTTGCGATGTGAATATGCTGCGGCAAGAATTTTGTGAATACGTGCTATAATAAGGAAGTTACAGAGGTTAGAACATCCGTTATAGCTGGTTTCAAATTCGCGTGCGGCCTCGCCACCCTTCTTCGCCATAGGGAGGGGAAAGGCACAACCTATCGTCATGACTCCGCCCACTTTAGCAATGTGACACGACGTCAGTGATACATCTTCGCTGCGCAGCCAATGACTGAGCAGGGAATCCCCGACATAAACACGTGTCGTAGCGACGAGAGGAGGAAGAGCAGTTCGAGGAGCAGCTTTCCCTTAGTTATAAAGTAGCGCAACACCTCTTTATCTCGGAGACCTTTGTTCTGGCAGTACCGCTTCTCCTAGTAGTCTCTGTCTCTACAAAGCAACAGAGGGCAGCGCAGGAAAATGAAAACGTGGACTACGTGGCCGAAACTGCATGACCATTAAGCCAAGGTGCGGTTTCGTAGGGCAAAGGACCAGTTGACAAGCTCAGTTGCCCGCAAGCTTGCATCACTGTGCGTAAGAGGGGCATTGGTCAGGCAAAGAAAATAAGTGTGGGAATCGTATTACAGCACAGCACGCAGTGCTGTGTATTTGGAAAATGTGATCGCCGTGGTCTACTATATGAATTGGCAAGCTTGTTTGAGGGGTATAAAAAAAGTCTGAGCCTGTTTACTTTAAAAGTACTGTGCAGCCCTAGAGAATTTTGGTACCATGCAGGTGGTGCATTTCCCCTGCATGCACCTGCTTTTGCTGGAGCCTACAAGTACTATACCGTGTCAACATCATAGAACTCACAGACAACGATGCCGAGGAAAGTATTGGGGATGTAATTAGTAGTAATCATAATGTTAATGTGAAGAAAGAAAAGTTGACAAAATGTAACTTGACTTTCCACTGGCAGGGACAATATTATTCCTTAAAAAAAAAAAAAAAGACGAGCCTTTAAAAATTCTCGCTTTTCTACAGTGCGTCAGCTCGCAGCATTTACTATGGCAGTGTGCTTCTAAGGCGCAGTTCCCATGACAGCTGGTGGTATCACAAGGGCAAAATGTGGAAACATTCATTACTGTGCTTTGGTGCACATAGATATAGCAGGCTATGAAAATGTACCAAGAGCTCTGCTGAAGCTCACAGCCAGTGTTGCTTTGGTAAAACAAGCCTGATTGATTAGTCAATCAATGAATCACTGTATAAAGATCAGGATCATATTAATACAAGCTTTTTAGGGCAGGACAGGTGTGTGCAGGGAAGGGTCACATGCTGGTAGACACCAGTGCCATTCTTTGCAATTTTACCGTCAAGTTTCAGGGCGCATGAATATTTACTTCGTGAAAAAACAATTGGCTGGAAGGTGGTTTTGGCCAAAGCTTTCTTATCACTGGCGGCTTTGCTTGATTCAGCTCATGTTTAGCTGCTTGTTTGTCATACCGGCTAGTTGCCTATTATGGCCCACCTTTTTTTTGCTGGCCTACTGCACTAATGATGTTAGTACCCATATGTCTAAGTATATGAGGAGTCTGTTAAAAAGAACTTCAGCCGAATGGGCTGCTTTTGGAAACCATTTTGTGAAGGCTTTGAAAAGAGCACTAATGTCGAAATAATGGAAAAATGTTTCTCGTTGTAGCAAGCTTTTTGTTATAATTATTTTTTTGTGACATTGCCCTCATAACATGTGCTCAATCATTGACATGTTTGTGTATGACAGCCACTGAAAATGTGTTCAAGCATTTCCGTAAGTCTGACTTGTCTCTGCAAAGTAGGATTGAAATGTGAAGGTATTTTTTGTAACTTTGAATGACCTCACAAGATGTTGTGCCCAGTACCCACCTGTAAACACTGTATATGTGTTGCAGAAAGAGACTTGCAACATATGTTTTCAGTGGCAGGCATTTTTTATCCAGCAAAGCTAGCATTGGATCACATTGTAGTTAAAAATCTTTGTTTGCCTTCTCAGTGAAAAAGAGATTCTTCAAGGTGAAGTGAAAGCACTCGAACATGCTCGAGATTCCCAGAAGCAGAAGATTCATGAACTGGAAGATGAACTCAGGAAGATCAGAGAGGAACTTGAAAAAATGAAGGCTGCCAAGTCTGACGATGAGGTATGCACATACATTCAGGTCTGGTCTTTTTTGTTTGTTTATACTGCTAGATTGTGTTTCGAAGTTGTAGAAGGCTCTATATCTGTAATGTGAACATGGTGCTTGGATTTGTTCTTCTATAAAACATCATTTTATCATGCAACCTGATTTGTAAACAGGGTATACATCTTTATTTGTATGATACTATGCAGTACAGAATATTTGTAGCTTTAAGAATTATATGTGTGTATGTTGTGGCTAAGCCAAACCCGTGTTAGTGCTTTTACAAATCAGTTTTTCCTTCATATAAACTTTTTTCTTTGACAACAATGCCCAAGGCTTTACAAATAAATCCACAGTAATGGGACAAGTTTGTCATGCCAGCTTGGTTGCTTAGATTGGTGAAGAAGCTAACAAACTACTGTTCTTCTTTTCTTGGTCTAGCTGTACATTCTGAAATTGGCAAGTATTTACTAGTATTTTGACCTATGACTATTTTAGTGTATCACCTACATACTGCATAATTGACTTGTTTATGCATGCGCCTTACTAGAATGACTGTATATCCAGTGTTCAGTGCATAAGCAAAACATTTTTTTCGTCTACGCTTGTTTGTTGGGCAGTGAGATATTGCCAGGGTGCTACAAATTATGTGCTGCCTGTGCCTTATCTGACATGTGCGTAGCTCTGCTACTTGCATTCAAAGCTATCTCAGGGGTGGAAATGCTGTGCCAATTGCGCTGTTCTGCGCCAACCTGACCTGCTGCGCCCAACTGCACATAGACGTTAATTTCTGCAATAATTGTTGATTGGTTTGAAGCAGAAACTGCCAAATTTAGCCGAATATTATCATCGACTCAGCAACACTGAGCATTGGCCACAAAAAGGAAGCGGCTGCATCCATATCCACTGTAGTTTGATCACATGTTCAATCATGATCACGTGCTCTGCTTCATTGATGGGGCTTGCTAGGACTTGTCTTATCACTGTTATCTCCGTGGTTTCCCGTAAAAAATGGTGGCATGAACATGAGCAACTGTGAATTATCTAGTAATGCAGTAAAACTTCAATAATTTGTACCCGCCGGGAACGGGGAATGATCATGAACGGCAGCATGCATTTACAAGCACAAAAGTGCATCTCCTGACGTGCGCCATCGCCACCAATAAGCAAATACAGTAACACTTATGTTGTGGCCCGAAGTACCCATCAAAAAGTGTTTTCTTCTTTTTTGCCGAAGTGCGAAAAAGATACCGGGCTGGCACTCCCGCACAACCGTTTGATAACACGCAGTGGCAAAGCAGCATTTCAAAACTATTACAGGGTCTTGGATACGCAGCGACTGAGATAGCGACAGAACGGATTGGCTTTCCTCGATACATATGTGCGCTTCTCTACCGCAATCTGATACCAAGCGACAACTGATAGTTTCATTGAAACATGGAGTAGTTGTGTGGATTCGATTATCTCCTGGTTAGTAGCGTGCAGCACAAGGCCTGTGCTGCTCACGCGGTTGCTGCTGGGCTGCTCACTGTAGGGTGTGAGCTGATTCGCCCTGTGAATTGCTCGTCCCCACTTTGCTTGAGACCGACGAGCACAGATGAGCAGAGTAGTGAGCTAGATCAGCGGCGGGACAACGAACTTCCACCACACGAAGTGCGTCACGAAAACAAGACATAAGCATCGCTTATCTCTTGTTTTTTCCGAGTTATTTCTCTGTCAGCTGTGATGCTTAATAATGAGAGCACAGACGTGCGCACGTCCCCCCCCCCCCCCCCCCCCCCACCTCCGGTCGCTCAGGATTGGAAACAATCAATAGCTAGCCGCTTCAGTCATCGACGCAAAGGAGCAGACGTCTCACCCTGAGTGACGTACTGCCTTTTTGTATATGAGGTGTGTTCATTGCGAATTGTGCCCTGTCGGCCAGGGTTGCCAGGTTTGGCTACTTTGTACCAATTTGACTTCTTTTTTTTTCAGTCTGGTGGCAGGAAAAAATATTGGTTACTGGGCTATTTTTGGGTAGCTTTATTCAGTCTTGAGTTGAACTTAATTGGCCAAACATGCCTGGTAGGTCAACATTCATAGTTTTAAATTGCTTAGCGAATCACGACAGGGAAAGAGGACACGCATGCACACACACACACACACACACACGTGCTCAAACAGAGTTGTGCAGAGTTGTGGGTAGCAAGTCTGGTCAGCTCATTAGTACTAAATGTTTAATGGAGACCATTGGAATTCTTTTTAACCAGAAATAATTTGGTTGACAATGATGTTTGACTCTAGAAAGTTGCGCCAAAACTAATTTGTATTGCTCCAAAATGCACCTTTGGTGCTCCGAACCTGCGCCAAAGCTGCTCCATAACAGCATTATTCCTGCTCCCTGAGCTGCTCGAAAACGCTAAAGTCTACTTCCACCTCTGAATCAGTAAGTTCTACTACAGTGATGGAAAACAGCATCTGCTTAAGAATAAACTACCCAAAGGTAGCAAGTTGATCTGCTCAGTGTTGCGCCTTGCCAACTTCCATGCTGAGTCTGACATCTCATGTTAAATTAATTACATTTGTTCCAGCCCGCTTAGCTGCTGATAGACTTTTTTGTTTTATACAGTCAAATTCATTTATAACGATACTCATTTTAACAATACATCATTTATAACAGTGAAAATCTGATGCACTGACAGCTTTTTTATGTTTTCTATGGTGAAATAACCCACTTACAGCAATGCCCACATGCCACATTATCGATTATAGCAGTGAATTTAGGCTGTTGGGTTTTCGGGCAAAGAGGTAGTCGAATGTGAAATCTTTGAAAAGAAAAAAGAAAGCGAGCGATTCAAGAGAGTCTCAGCATCCAAAACTTCAGACATTGTCATACATAGGATTTATGGGGCTGGTGGCGGTCTCGCAAAAGCATCCAAATTTTATGCATGTTTCGAAAATTGTCAGCTTTGTGATTTCTGTCACTAATGTCTGTTGGCATATCCCATCCGATTTTATACGTATTTACCCACATAATTGACGCACTTTTTTTTTGTAGAGAACAAGTGAAAAGTTGGCAGGTAGGAGAATTACAAGAAGAAAACTTTCTGCAATAACATACGGTGTGAAAAAAAAATGCAAGTGGCCATAAATATGAGTTTTTGCACTAGCAAATTATTACAAGCATTGAGAAGTACTAATCAAGACTCACCTTCGCAAAAAAACCACAGGTTAGCACAAGACAAGATTTTTAGACACAAAAGCTGCAAGCAAACAGTAGACAGTTTCGGAATACCTTACACAATGCTTACGGGCGTAGCGTTATTCGTACGTCACTCAGCGAAAACCTGCAAAAGGTTAGTGTACGATGTCAACCTTGAGCTGATGGCCATGTAACACAGAATCGTCGACAGTTACCATCTGATGAAATAGAGTTTTACCATGCATCCCAGACGGAAGGCTCAGAGCATCTTGTTGGCTTACAGCTGCCCATTCTACCGTGGCCAGTAGCGAACACAAAACTCGTCGACTACAAAGGGCCTACCGGCAGCCCTGTTGCTGTTGTTCAGTGACTGATCAATCAATTTCAACTTGAAAGCAGCTGTGTAGCTTCCATATTGCCCCATAGTGTAACCACAAAATGGACACAACGTACACTAACATGCCTGCTGTAAAACGCACATGCCACATTGGCCTGGCTTGGATCGCATTCAGGCTTCGTGTCTTGATATTCTGCATAATGCTTAAGAGATCGCGTCAGACTGTCATGTGTTATCTTGATCAGTAGTTGGAAAGAGCAGACATCATTACAGCTGCACTTTTTGGAGTGTGATTATTATATGCAGGAAAAGAAATTGTATTTTTGTTGGGCAATAGGTGGGCGCGATGATTATGCAAGTGCGAGGATTACACAAGTAAATACGGTAGTTTCCTCATGACAGCCTGTCATCTCGCTGTATTGCTTTTTTTAGGTGCAACTTGTTCATGGCAATTATTATTTTCATGGCATTCGATTATAGTTATAAGTAGGTTCAACTGTATAGGAGAATGGCTGTACCATAAATAAAAGAAAATAAAAGGTCCTCATCCTGTCACTGTGATACTTCTTGTTTTTGTGTGGTTAGTATTTTTGTGCGAAGTTGCATATTGATGTCAAAAAAGGTGCAGAATCGTAAGTTTTATTTTTTTTAATGTTTAACTTTTAAGGTTGTTGAGGTCTGTAGTTTCAAGGATTGCTCCAATTCTTGAGAGTTAAGCCTAGCCATTTCATACATGCTGTGCTGTAACTCTCGTGGGATGGTTGCTTTGGAATTGCAGCAGGAGGACGTTCCAATGGCTCAGCGTAAGCGCTTCACCCGAGTAGAGATGGCTCGTGTGCTCATGGAGAGAAACCAGTACAAGGAGCGCTACATGGAGCTGCAGGAGGCCATTCGGTGGACAGGCATGATCAAGGCATCGCGGACGGACCCCACTGAAGACCCAAAGAAGAACCGCTCCTCCATCTGGAAGATGTAAGTGCGATCTCTCTCTGAATGCATGTTATCGCTTGACTTGGCTATGATAAACCTTGCTTTACTCTCTGGTACAGCCTGCTGGCTTTTTCTTTTGGATTTCATTTAATTTGCACATTCTGGCCATTCATGTGCAATTATAATTGACAAGATCCCGATGTATTGATACTGAACAGGCTACAAAATGTGATTAGGGGAGAAGCATAACCGTTACAAGACTCGAGACCACAGATATAATATAAAAGCTTCCAACATTTTGTGTTCATTCTGCTCCTAGTATTTCAGTGCAATGTAGGTCTGTTAACACAGTTTGTGTAGCAATGGCTTTATGAAACTTGTGGGAGACAGTGCATTGTGCAAATAGTGAGTGCTCTTAAAAGGCTGTGAAATGGACGACAGTTGAACCCTTTGTAAGAGACATGCTCTGTGGAGCATTTATTATCTTCATATGAGGTGTCTCTTATAAGCAAGGTACCACGTGTGCATCTTCTTATCAACCCCTATTTCATGGTACTGTTGGTAGGAACACTAGTGTCTCCTATACCCATTTCTATCTTACATCAGTCTCTTATGAAAGGGGTTCGACTGTATGTTGAGGGTTAAAAAAAAAAGTTCCTGTGTAGCAAACAACAGCCTTTTTTTTTTTTAATTTACACTTTAAGCATAGCATGAGCTGGAGTGTATTGGCCTCGCCATAGCATAGCATGAGCTTTAGTGTATTAGCCTTGCTATAGATGTCAACAACTGTCTTGTGTTCTGTCTTGTAACTTACCTTCAGTGTGTAGCTGTAAATACAGGTGCAGTGTTCAATTATGCTTGTGTTATACAGTAGCTGAATGTTAATTGTGGTGGCACTGTACTTGAAGTGAGTGGTCGCTTATACTGCTTTTTTTTCATGATGGGTGGTGGCATTTCTTTCTTCCTTTCTTTTCTCACGCATTCGCACATGAAGCACAAAGTGAGTAGCAAATTGTCCAGTAGTGAGAGTGCAGTGCAAAAATTTGCTTTGTTGAGCCTAATTGTTTCTTTTGCATGATTTGGCTTTGCACTTTCTATTCTTTTGCTTATGCTACCAAACTGCAATGTATTTGATGTCATCAACTCTATTTGATACTGAAGGTGTGTTGTGTTCTTGAATCTGTTCTCGAACCTGAAAATGTGGCAAATAGCACAAATAGAGAAAAAACATTAGAGCATCAAGCATAATACGACTCCTAGAAAACATGCTATAGTAGCATTCACAGGGTTATATTTTTGGTCTGTGGATAGTTACACGATTTATAGTAGCACTGTTTGTGTTATCATATTTGAACATGTTATATAAAGCAGAGCCTGGATAAGAACTTCACTTAAAGTTATTGAGCAGAAGCTAAAGCCATTCTCTTGAACGAAAGGAGTAACGTCAAAAGATTTTGAAGGCAAGAAACTGTGGGATGCGTTAGTGAGGACATACCTACATCATTTACAAGATGGCACATATTTAAAATCAATCTTATTATTTTGTGCAGCTTAGTGCAAGGTTGAGCACCTTGCAACATTGACATCAGTTTGTAAACGACCAGAAACATTGTCATGAGGTTGTGTTGGCCGCCAGGCTCCTTGTGTGCACTTTCTACTGCTGCTGTTAATGTGATGCTCACGTGCGTATGTTGCTACAGCGTTTCACATTTTTGTGTTCTTAAAGTGGCTGGTTGTGTTAACGAAGTCTTCTTGCTCTGGACTTGTCTTGGACTTTATGAAATGGAAACTGTTACATGATGCTATAAAAACAACTATAAATAACCGTGGTGTAATCAAGCTAGCAAGATTTTCCACCATAAGTAGGTTACTACCCTACTGGAAAAAACCGAATGGTGGGCATGGTGTAAACCACCACTTACCATTATAGTGGATTACTGTAGTGGGTGAATGCTGGAAAATGTCCACTATGGTGTATGGTGGGATATGGTGGATGCTGTAGTGCGGGCAATGCTTGAGTGCGAAATGGCGTCAGAATCACCGTGACAAGCTGCCACAAAAAATAAAAAAAGAATTGTATAAAAACGATGTAAGAAACACCCATAAAAAAAAAAAAAAAGAACAGGCTACCACGGAGATTTGAACGTACGACCTGCGGATTCTAATTTGAAGATACTAGCCACTGCGCTATACCAACATAATGAAACTTGCGTGTTAAATAGCTAGTTCACGTACGAACTGACAGTTCAACTTCAGTTTTGTTTGTCGCGTACTCGACATAGACTAGATTTGTACCTGCTAATAAATCTCCACATTTATTAAACACGAGCAAAAAAAAAAGCAAGTGGACTGGGGCGCAGCTATAGTTTACCGGCGGGGTATGCCAAGTTTAATATCTGTTTCTTGCTCGTTCCAAAGGGTGACATCTGCTCAGGCTTCATCACGCCTCTGGGCTCATTTCATAGATACGCCCACCTAAATGATTGAGTATTGGGATGCTTTTTTGCACAACATAGAGTGCAGTCGTGCCAGCGCATGTGCTGTAGCTCTATTGTTAGCAACAACTGCATAACGGCTTGGCCAAAACGAATACAGTGCGCCGGAAACATTATGCTATCATATTGCTTCAGCAAGCATATGAATTGCCAAGTCTGTGTTCTCGCATAAGAGCCAGAGAAGGGCGGGCGAGTGCGACCGGTGACTGTCGGTGAGGGGAGACGTGCATTCTCTGGAAGTGCTGGAATCATGTCGCATCAATGTTTGTTGCTTCCTGCGCGGACACCGCACACAATAAAAAATGTTTCATATAGGTTAATTGATGCCATGGCTGTGCTGTATTGTCATTATTACTTGTCGAAATCGTGTATTCTGAAACCCAGAAGCGCGGATAACACAATTGTTTTGGGCTCGGTCGGTAGCAAGGCCTAACTTTTGGTGGAAATCGTGGTGGTAGAACACGTAGTGTACAGATCCCAGCTTGGTACACTATATATATTGCCCGCCATTATAAGCCCACTCATCATCTGCTTATTGCTTCCCAACATTATTGCAATGGTGGGCAGAGCTTCTCAGCTTGGTACACCATGTCGCCCGCCATAATAAGTACCACCCATCATCTGCTTAGTGCTTCCCAGCATTATCGCGATTGCGGGAAGAGCTTCTCAGCTTAGTACACCATGTGGCTTACCATAATAAGCACCACCTACCATCTGCTTAGTGCTTGCCAGCATTATCGCAATGGTGGGCAGGTCCTCCCCATGTTTGCCCACTATCTAGCCGCTACTTCCCACCATCGTTTCCACTTTACCCATCTTCTGTACACCATGCCACCCAGTATGTCCCGGCATATTCATCATAATTACCACTACGTCCCACCATATCCACCATAATTTCCACTATACCCACTATTATTTCCACTATGCCCACCGTGTTTTCCAGTATCCACCATGGTAGTTTTTCCGATAGGGTAGTTACTTATGGCAACATACGAACAATGATACAAAATTTTTCTATGAGTGTTCCTTACTAATTTATGCATATTGAACACTTTTATTGTGTTTGCTTTTTTTGGCACTAAATATTGGGTTTCGCTTATGTAGCTCTAATGTTTTATGCATGCAATGAGGCTGCACTGCACATTATTTTGAAGATATGTTCTCTGTGACAGTTTTGTGTGCTCCTTCTATGCTCTGGCATTTTGCCACTGATGGAATCTCACTCCACAGAACTTCCTGTTTCAAAACCTGCTTTGTGTTTTTGTATGCGTTATTCGTCTCTGCTGCCTTCGCGACGACACTTTCTATGAAGAGTACATATGCAGTGAAGCGTTCATAACGTGAGTAACTCTCTAGTGTCAAGATGTAGCTCCGCAGCTAATATCTTATCGCAAGTGAGGACGTTCACTTTTTCGAAAGAAGACCGAAAAATCACCTGGGTTGCAGCAATACAGCAGGACATCTGGCTGCCTATGAAGAACTTGCAGATCTGTTTTGCCCTCTTCTGTCAAGGCGAGTATCTGTGATGGCATTATGTCAATACTGGAGCTGGCGTAGTCTTGAATTGTAGCTCTTTACTAATGGCACAAGTCTTGTAGATGTGTGCTGCTAGGAGCAGCAGGCAGTATATCAGTGCACTTATAATATAAGGGCCAGTAAACAGGTATATAAGGGCCAGTAAACAGGCTCTGACTTTTTTTTTTTTCACCCCACCAAACAAACTCTCTAAATTGTACAATAGACCACGGTGATCACATTTGCTGATTATTTAAGTGCTGCACACCATGCGGACCCTTGTTTATTTCTTCCGTTGTTATGCTGTAACTACTTCTAGGTTGCACTGTTTGTATATTCAGTTGTGAAAAACTATTCCTGCGCCTGACCGATCTCCCTCATTATGCAGTGATGCAAACAGGCCCATGGGCAACTTCATGTACAGCTCAGCTCGTTGATTAGTCCTTTGCCTTAAGAAACAGCACCTTGGCCCTGCAGTGATGTAGTTTCGGCCGCGCAATCTGCATTATCATTTTCCTGTGCTGCCCCCTGCTATTTTGTAAGCCCTAGATTACCGGGAGAAGCGTTATTGCAAGAACAAAAGCCTCCAAAATACAGAGGCATCTCGCTACTTTATCGCAAGGGGAAGGGTGCTCCTCGCGTTGGGCCTCCTCCATGCGTTGCTATGACACGTGCTCATGTGAGAGTAGTCCTGCTCAATTGTTGGCTGTTTGGCGATGACGTATCACTGACGTCGTGTCACGTTTCCAAAGTGGGTGCAGTCACGACGATGGGTTATGCCTTCCTCTCCCTGTGGTGGAGGAACGTGGTGAGGCCATGCGAAAATTCAAAACCAGCTGGAATGGATGTTCCAACTCCGCAATTTCCTTATTATAGCACGTATTTGCAAATTTCTTGCAGCAGCATGTTCACATTGCAAAAGTGCATGTATTTCTCTTCATTACATTTTGTGGACTCTGAAGTTGTTTACTGGCCCTTTAAGGGGGCAGACTGGTCTTTGGGACCAAAAGGATGACAAAAAAAATTCATTTT